CATCTTAATTATTTTAGGGAATTGAAATAAGTATGTGAATTTAATTTAAAAAAAGAATATCCCTTCTCAAAATATAAAATAAATTTTAATATGAATAATATTCTTTATGAAAGTTCTGGTGACATAGATTCTAAATTGAGTTTAAAGATCATTAAAACATTTGAATTAGGTAATAATCAAAATATTTTCTAATTAGATCCTCATATTACTAAATTAGAAAATGTTTATGATGTTCAAACAAGATGCATCATTTTGCCTTTAGGAGGAGATGGTGATTCAGATATTTTAAATTATCTCTTAAACATTTTCAATTAATTCCTAAATTAAAATCTTTCTTTTTGTGAATCAACTTCAGAAAATCATAAACAAAAATATTTTGCGAAATTAGAAGCAGGAGTTAATCCTAACTTAGTTTTTAAAATAATTAAAAATATTTTAATGCCAATACAGAAACACATTGATTATTATACATAATAAAATGTGAATCTTGATTCTCTTTATTAAGACACAATGATTTTGATTAAACAATTAAATTCAATAAGATTAACTGATATTTTATGAATAACAATATTAATTTCGATTTATATTTCATGATACTTTTACATATAAGAGGTTTTGTAGCTTTTCTATTTTTGAGAAAAAAAAAAAATTAGTGAAGATTCTGTTTCGTAAAGGCATAATTAAATTAATATAAATACTCTAAATTTTTATAATTAAAATAAGATCCTTTCAGAGATAGATATATGGTTATAGAAGTTATATATATTTGAATGGTTTAATATTTAATATAAATGTTAATGGATATTCATAGAAAGAATATAAAGATAAATACAAAAATGGGAATATATGTTAGGGCTCATGATTATTAAATAATACAATCAAAATGGATGGCAATTGAAACAGTAAAAAGTTGGATTTTTATGAAAATAGATATATTACAAACAATAATTTAACTACTCATAGAAAATAGATGCTTCATAATTTTAGAGTAAAAAGAATATAATAATAGATTAGGTAATAAACAACTAAGAATCTTCTTCATATTATTTTTTTTAAGAAAAAATAAAAATAAATTCTGAGGCAATTTAAATTTATTTAGCTTAGTATTTTTAACAAAGAAAAAAATCATTTATATTTCTTTTTAAAGATTTGATATAATAGTTTTTTTTTGAGAAGTTCAAAGTTTAATTAGAACTTTCTATAGGATAAATATTTTTTATAATAATTAACAAGAAAATAAAAAAAAATTTTGGGTGGGGCTATTTAATGAGAAATAAGGATTTTGTTAATTACATGAAATTGATGATTTAATTCTATAAAATCATATTTAATTTAATATTATTAAATACTGTATAATAACTACGAACATATGGACAACAGCTGAAACTTGGAGAGAAATCGCTAAAAAAATTATACATTCGACATACAATATTTTAAGTACATCATTATAAAGTCCTCCAAATTAAATCTAAAGTAAAATTGTAAAATAACGAAAAAAAATACTAAGCAAATCTTAATCAATTTTATTAAACCATTTGACAAAACAAGGCTAAGTCTTATATTCAAATATAAAAAGCAAAATAAGTCCAAAACTTATAAATGTCATTTAATATTTATATTCTTATTCTTAAACAGAGCTCAAACCTAGTCTAGCATAAGACAAAAATTACAACATAATTCGATTTATATTTTTAATCTAAGGAATAATAATTATATTGAAATATTGGTTATAGATAAGCCTGTAGTGGATAATAAATGTATTTTGATTGATACTACACCCAAAAATTGAAAGCAATAAAACTATAAAATGTAAATCTCCATAAAATTGTAAATCATTTTTTCTGATTACCAAATATATTCAGAACAATCAAAAATAAAAGCATCTATATAAATTTTCATAATAGATATAAATTAACCACTTATAATTTGAAGTTTCGTATTAATAAAGTATTTTATTTATGGAAAAGTAACAATTAGATATTTTTCATCTAAAAAATTAGTGTTATTTTCTCTATTTATTTAGATACTAGAAAGCCTAATAATTATAAAACAATGCTTAAGATTAAAGCAATTATAAGCAATACTACTATAATATCCGTTGAGTTAGAATGTTCGACTACTTAAAGATAAAAGTTATATTAACTCTCTCCAAACTAACCAACCAACCTTTTGAGCAAAAGCCAAAAATGATAAAGCAACCATTTCAAATAATTTTATTAAGACAAAATATCGGTAATTTCTGAAACTAATTATTTCCAGTTTGGAGTATCTTTAAATTAAATTGCCTCATTTAAATTTTATGGTGATAAATTACTAATAACCAATTTATTTTTAAATTGTTTTAACAATTTTTTTGAGTGATCCAAAAACATTTATGTAGGCTTTACAAAGTTCACAAAAATTACGCTTAGAAATTTAATCAATAAATTCAATAGTTGTAAATTTAATTTTGTTATTAAAATTTAAATGACAAATTGTCTTGTAAGGGATTTATTTTATTTTTTTGTTTAAACTCTGGTTTAAATGCTTCTGCAAGAACAAAAAAGAATTTGTTTAAGATCTCTTTCAATTAAATTTTATAATAAATTTTGTTTTGACAAATTTAAATATTTAAACAAATTAATGATTTTGACAAAATTAAATATTTAAATCAAATTAATGAATATATAATTCTAATTATAAATATTTTATTTTTACAATACCCATACTAAAAATATTTTTTGTATTATCTCTTTAAGAATTTTTTTTAAATTTCCTATTCTTCTTTGTTCAAAATAAGAGATCTAAAGAATGCTCTAATATTAATAAAGAATTTTATAATTATTATTAAATAAGTAGTAAAGATTTACACAAAAATTGAAAACTCTTGTGTTAAACTTTCAAAATTAGTTGCTGACAATGGGTGAAATACGATAAATCAAGTAAAGAATTGGTAAATTAAAGGAAACAGAATCACTTTGAAAAAATTATAATTTTAGAGCAGAATTGGATAGATTAGAAAGTAGACAGAGACTAAGGAGTGATAAGAGTTCTTTGAAGAGATTCAAAAAGAATAAAAAGAATATTAACTAAGTCTCAGCATAAGTAAGAGAGCTCCAAAATAGAATTATTCCAAAAAAGGGATGGATTAAGATCATCATGATTAAATAAGATGATCCTTCAGATGGTAGTTATAAAAACCAGGAAATCCATGACATAGCTCTAGAAAATGATAATGAGTGGTGTATTTATTCTTAATTTATATATAATCTAAGATAAAATATTCAATATAATAAGTAGCACATAGAAATATTAGTATATTTATAAATTCTAAAAGAAATGTCTAATACCAAGGTTATTATTTTGAATTTATGAATTTTATTTAAATAATAAAATTAATTTATCAGTTACTTAAAAAAGTTTATTTATAACAATTGATCGTATCTATTTGTATCAGGATGAGATATAGTAAATGAGAATCAAATAAGGGATTGTTTATATAATAATCTCTGCAATTCTTACAATTAAAGTGCCAAATAGCCAAATACCACCCAAAACATTAGGAGTTGATGAGCTTATTAATAAAATTTTGTTTGTAGTTTTTATCTAATTATCTTATTTGTGTTTTGATTTATTCTTATTTAAATTTATTTCAAGGCATATCTGAAAGAGCCATTGAATATAAGATGATTATATGAATAATTTATTTATTTATTTTGTATTCACTCTATTCTAGGTATAGGCTGCGTTTTGTAAAGAAATGTTTAAAAGAATTTGGTTATTATTTTTATAAAGGTAATGAGATTTTTAGTGCTAATATTATAGGCAAAACTTTCCGAATGCTATCAATAAATTGTAATTTTAAAAATAGTTTTATATATAAAAATGGAAATTGTTGAGAAATGAAAAATAAATTTAATAAACTAATGTAATATAAAAATTTAAACGATTATAACTTATAGTTTTTTTAATCCAATTTGTGAAGATGAAATTATTATTTAATTTTATTAACTTGAGGGTGGTAATTTTCTATCTGTATGAAGTATATAAATACTAATTTAATTTTTATATCAACAAATTAGTTTGCATAATTGAAAATAAGTTAACCATTATATGGACATTAGAATATAAAAGATTATAAAAATGTTATTGAATGAGCAAGAATATTGAAGAATTTGAATTTACAATCATTTTCTTTAGTTATTTATACTAGGATCTTTTTGAATGATTCTGCTGTTACAGAACAATAGAGCGATATTTCTTGTAAAATTTTACAAAATACTTTATTTTAACCTCTAAAATATACAACACATAAAAAGATTTTTCAATCCCAAGCCTAAAAGAACCAAATTTACATTAATAATAAACTAATTTATCATAAGTAAGATGCGATTTCTAATAATAAACAAGATAAAACTTTTTTAATTATTCATAATTAGATATTCAACTTAGTCCTCATTGTTCTTTATTTTCTTTGCTTAACATTCATTTTATTTTTTCAATTGATGATAAATTTTAGATATAAAGTTTTATTTTTAATAAAAAATATAAAAATAAATTTTCTAAAGATATATATTTTATGTTCCAAACATTTATTTTATATTTTAATTCAATTATTAGCGTCTCTTAGAATTTTTTAATGATTAAAATCAAAACTAAACAATTTATTCCTAACTAATGATTAAGATGTTAGCAAAGCAGTCAAGGATCTTTTTAAATAATTATTTAATACTTTTGCTATTCTAACTAAAATTTAGATATATAAATTAAATGATTTCTCAATTTTGCATAATTTTCTGTTAACTTTTATTCTTTTTAATTCATTTTATGGATTTTAACATTTAAACATTTAGTTAGAAAAGAAATTTTGATCAATTTAATTAATTTGTTTAAATTAATTAAGAATAGAAGATAATATTTCTTATGATAAAACTGGATAATATTTTTTAAAAAAGGATAACTTAATAAAATAAAAAATATGACTAAAATTGCTTATAAAATTAGTGACATAACAATATTATTCTGTTACTCAGTAATATATTTTATTACTGCCAAAAAAATTGCTATTGAACAAATTTATCCAGTTTATACATCCAAATTATTTAAATTTTAAATAATATAAGGTCTATGTTTCTAAGCATAAATTTAATAAAATAGTAAACACATTCCTAAAAGTGAAGATTTTAAATAAATATCTGTTTCAAAATAAGTTAAAATGATTATAATAACAGTTTTTTCTCCAAGTTTGATCCATTCCCAATAATAAGTTAGTCTATCATACTCATTAAATAAATAGCATATGTGTTTTCTTAGATTTATATTTTCTAGTTGATCTCTTTTAAAGTACAATAATGCTAAAAGTGAAAGAGGCAAAATAATCCCTATTAATGCTAGTCCTGGAATTATAAAACTTATAATCCAATTAATATGAGTTTCTGTTCCATAATGTAATGAAACATCGCCTTAAATAAAATCTATTTATGAAATTTATCTCTTGGCCAATAATGAGAAAAATCTTTTATAATTAATGATTTTACTGTTTAATAAAAGCTGGATAATTAGATACAAAAATATAAAGTGCTGTTATTGATAAAAAGCTGGTTTGAAATTTTTTATGTTTTATCAGTGAATAAAGTTTAAATCCAATGTAGATAGCAATAAACAAACAGGCCAATAATAGAAACATAGTTATAATTCTCAAATAGATCAATTAAATTTCTTAAAATTCAGATAAATAACAATCCAAACTATTAGCCATAAAAAATGATGGATTGCTTGTTTGATCAATAAAGCTAAAAGAAAAAGAAAATTTAATATTAAATGAAAATATTACTGAAAATATCCAAATATAGTTGAGAAACAATTTTAATAAAATACTTGCATGATCTATATAAAAAAAAAATAATTTACCTTAACTTAATTTAAAAATTATCCTTGCAAACCTTTACCTAATTTTCAAAATTGAAAATAACCTATTTGATTTATCAATACTATTCAATGTAAATAGAGTTGAAAAAATAGCCCTAAATAACTTAAGTTTAAATACCACAAAGAAGCCAAAATAAAAAATTGGAAATGATTAGAATCATTTCCGCATAAATAGCATAGTGAATTGTATTAATTTTTAAAAAACAATCCATCCCCCCTAACATTGAATCTATCACATTCTTCACATAATCCTCCAATATGACCTTAATAGCATAGAGAATCACCAACCATCCAACCTCCAAAGCAAGATTCTTTGAATTTAAAGCAATCTTCTATATCATCAGAAAGATAATTTGGCCTCCAATAACCAATTTTAAGTTAGATTTAATTTGATGTTATTGATTCGAACTTTTTACTATCAAAAATCGAACATTTTGTAGTATTGTAAGTAACAGAATAATAACCTTATTTGGGTTGACAGAGTTAACATTTATGTTCAATATAAAATTCTCCTAATTAACATTTAAATGTTTTAATTTATATTCTATATTATAATTCTTACGTAGAATTATCTACTTTACATCCTATTAAAATTTACTCTACAAATTTATCAGATATCAAAGGATCAAAAGAGAAAGACTTAGTGCTTAAATCAAAAGAATTTAAACTATTATCAAATTTTATTTCATCTGACTTGATTGTATGAAAATTATCATTTTATCCTAATTATTATTTAATTTCACAAATAGAGTTAATAAAATTAATGAGTTATTCATTCATACTATTTTTAAATAAAATTGTTATCTATTCAATATATTATCGAAAAGATTAAAGTTGAGTATTAAAAATTTGATAATCTTTAATTATTTGATTGCTTGGAAGCATTAATAGTTTTGTTTTAATTAATTTACCTTACTCTATTACTTTATAAGGATTTATCTGCAAAGTTTAAATTTAGAAACCGTCTATATTTATTTAAATTGATTTCATTTCTAAAAAATTTATTTATAATTCCAAAAATTTGGGTAATTCTTGGATATTATTTGGTGGTAAAGAAGCTTGATTAAAGTAAACTATAGATTTGGAAAAATTTATAGAATTAAGCGTATTAAAGGTATTTAAAAAAATCCCTCCTGCTTAATTTGCTTTATTATTGATTATTAAAGTTTGATTAAACATAATTTGATGATTTTCTTGTGATATATAAAGTCCCCCACCTTCATATTTTGCTGTGTTATTTAATATTTTCGAGTTTGACAAGAAAAATATTGTATTATGAACTCGTATTGCTGAACCAGTGCCTCCATTATTTTTTAAAAAAAGGGAATTCCATATTTTGACAATTGAGTTAGATTATTTATTAGAATCAACAAAAATACATCCAAATGAATTAATGATGTTGTTAAAACAAAAAAGATCTTTTATATTTATTTCTGAATAGTTAATCAAATTAAAGTATATGATGCCACTCAAAAAATTTTACAAATCATTATTAAATATTTAAATTTAGGATAATTATATGCGATTTGTATTCGATTAAGTTTGGAAAAATAGTATGAAATTGTTTAAATTTTGAAATGTGATTACCTTCTCTTAAAAAATCCTGATATCACTTTCTTTCTCATAAAAACTATAAGTTATATTTTCTAAATTACATTTCAATTATTATAGTTCAATACTAATAAATTAATATTTTAAATCAATATTTATTAGATTGAAACTTGTAATACTTTAAAAAACAATATTTAACAAAGAAAAAATTGTTTTTATAGACTTTTAAACAATTTGAAATAAATTAACTTGAAAGAGTAATTCGACTTTATAAATATAAAAATTGTTCATCTTTAATTGTTGAGAATCTTCTATTTTTAAAATTGAAGATAAAATAACACCTTCAATCACAAATTTGTCAATTGATAAACTGCATCCTTATAAATTTATTATTGAATTATCTTATAGTATATTTTAGGTTAAAAAATGATTTAATGTGCCTAATTTTTTAAGGTATCCAATAAATGAAGTTTTACTTTGTTTTATTTTTTAATTTATGATTAATATTTAATTTTCTTCATAAAAGTTAGTTGAAAAATGTGCTTTCAAGAATAAATTTAAAAGAGAAAAACAGTTTTCTATGTTTATGTTTTTTATTAAAATTTTATTTTATTTTGACGATGGTGTTAGAGCTAGAATTGATGAACCCAAATTATTGAGCACATCAAAAAAAATAATATCAACAAATTGAAAATTTAAAAGACTATACTAGGAAAAGATTGTTATACTTCCATCATTTTCAGTGCTATTTAAATTAATATTGTATATATGCATCATTTTTAAGTTTTTCAGATTCACAATTCCTTTCCCTTATGTTTTTAAATTAATTACCAAACTTTTGTAAGCAAGTAAGTTTTTAAAAGAACTGTTGATTATCTGACATTATTGTGCAATAATTTATAATGCTCCTCCAATATTTTAAATTATCAAGAGTTTGTTTATGATTTGGTTGAGTTAATCTTAATTTACATTTTATTCTAATTAAATTTGAAAAACCTTATTCCATATATCTTACTAAATTAAATTATGATTTTCGACAACTAAATCTGATATGAAAATTTCATTCAAAAATAAATTAATAAATGTATTGGAAGAGTTTGTTAAAATGTTGTTTTTAGAAAATAAATTTTAAATATATAAATAACTTTATTAGGAATGTATAAAAAATAGACTTGCAATATTTTAAGAAGAGTCATCCATATATTAGTGTAATACATTTTCTTAAAACTTAATGTTTTTTATTGAGATATTTTAATTTTTCTCAGAAAAAATTATAATTAATGATAAAAGTTATCCAATCTTTATTTTTTATAGTGAATTCCCAATAAATTATAAATTATTAATTTAAATTATTTCTTATTCTTCAATTAAATTAAAAATATTTGAATAAATTGAAATTATTGGCTAATCTCTGTTAAATTAATTTTATACGGTGAAATTATGAATTGATAAACGAGTAAATCCTTAAATATTTAATAAATGAGAGTTAAAATGAACTTCCTCTAAGCATTTTAGAGATAATTTGATTTTCTGTTTCTCAAATGCACTATAATAATATAAATTTTCTATTTCAATTTAATAAGTATTGAATAAAGTAAAATAATTAATATTTTTAGAGCAATTAATTGTTATATTATTTATAATTAGTTTATAACTGTTAATTGAGAAAATATATGATTTAGAAGTGATAAGCTGATTTTGAAAATTCTCAAATAGTTAGAAATTACTCATCAAAATAGTTAATAGATAAAAGGGTTATTGTTATTCGAAAGATAAAACTTTAGAATTAGAAAAAGAATTTAGTAAAATCTTTATATCAGAAAAATAAATTTAGCTCATGTTTTAAACAGATGAAATTTAGACTATGAATAATGAATTGAAAAAATCATTTTAATCAATAACAAGATCAACCATATTCAAATTATTACTGAATATTAAAAATTTAGAAGTGTTAAACTAACTATTTTTTATTGTTGATTATGTGATCTGAAAATCAACATAAATATTACTAGTTAAAATCTATGAATTATAAAATTATGAATTATGAATATATATACCTTTAATTTAAGTTTGTAGATAAAAATTAGAATTTTAAGTAAAATTAAAAATAGTTGAATTATAAAATTTACATCCAATAATCTTCAAATTCTATATAACTTTTTTGAAAGTATCAAGCAAATAAAACAATGTTGTATTATCAAATACACAATTTTGAATTATTATAGTATCAATCAAAGTAAAATCTCTTGAATTAATTTCAAAGATAAATGAATTTTATACATTCAAATTCTAAAATGTTAAATTTTATATTTTAAATGAGTCATATAGATCAGACTTTATTGAAATTTCAGCTTTTGAATCCTCTGAGGTTATAATTGATGAATTTTAAAGGCTAAAATTGACAGATTTATTCTAATTTAAAAAACGCAATGAAAAGAATTGATTCACATAAAATGAAACCTCAACAATTGAGATGGAATCAAAATCAGATGTGGCAATATTGCTAAAATAGCTTGTAGGATTATTATTTCCTTTAAGTGTTAGTTCTACTAGTTTAAGAGAGAATACTTTCATTTTAATTAGGTTATAGAGGATTCTTGTACTAAAATATCCTCCTACATATGTACAATTTTAGTTATAAGGTAAAATTAGTTAAAAAATTGATAACCCTATCTAATTTAGATACTGAAAATCTAACTTATTTTGAAATTATTCATGTTTTGTAGTATTAAAAAAACTTAATATATAATCGCAATCATTTTCAATCTTAGTAAAACAAAAAAAATACCTCATATTTCAAATAATTATTACAATTTTACTCAAAACAGTATTTTGCTGTTTAAGAAATCTGATCAATAACTACATTAGGATAAGGAAAAGATTTAATACATTTCAGCGTAAATATATAAGAATTTTCATCTATAACAAAAAGTGGATTTATTCTCTAAAAAATAATAAAAAACAGTACTTAAATTTCTTGAATTGTTCTTTTCTCACAAACTTAACATAATTATGGACATTCTAAACATTTTTCTTAATCTAATGACCTAAGATTTTCTTCCATATATTTATTAATTTTGCACTTTGAACAAGTAAAACCATTTTAAGGGATGATCTCTTTCTGACACATTTCACAATTGTTAGCGCAACTTTTCTTGCATAAACTTTAATTAACTTCATATCCATCTATACACTTAACTGGTAAAGGAACAATAATTCTTAATGAAGGCGATTTAGAATAAAAATATTTATCTGGTAAAAATTACATTAAGAAACTCTAAATCAACTGAATCCAAGAATCTTATTCTTTCAAATCACCATCAATACAAAATTTAACATTTTCAACTGAACAAATACTACATTGACCTGTTGTAAAAGAGCTCGAATATCCATCCTCACAAATAATACATTTAAGTGTATCTTAAGGTGTTTAAACGCATTATTTGCAATGAGAGATGTATTTATTGCAATTTTAAATTTCTGGGGAAATAGAAAAATCATCAATTAATGATAAAGTGCAAATTTAACTCCCTGTTAAATCATTATAAGCTCTTAAGCAATTTTTTATTTTTGGTAATTCATAAATACATTTGCCTTTTTCAAAATCAAAGATAAAATCAATTTTACATAGAGCACATCCTACTCTGTGATATTCATTTATTGAGAAAGTTTAAAATCCTTGATATAGAGTACATTTAGCTAAATCATTACTTAGATATTCAAAACAATAAATACAATTATCTATTTCGCATAATTTACAAGTATTTTCAGATGTTTTATAGTAAGGAGCTATGCATTAATTAAATTTTTATTAACCAGTATATCTTTTAATACACTATCCATCCTTTAAAAATGATGTTAAATAGCATTTTAAACAAATCACTCTTGTCATTTCATAGCCACATTATAGACAATAAAATAAATGGCATGATGAGTTCGTTGGTGTGATAGTAAAATTGATAAGTTTGTAATTAGTTTCAAAAAATTGAGAAGTAAGCAAATAATCAGCAAATATTTCTTCTGTTTTGATTGGTAAGTCATTGCTAAAAAAATTTTAAGGTTTATAATCATTTTCATAAAGAACATAATATGTTTTGCTAGAATCTTTAAAAATCTTTGCTGGACTGCCATCTCTATCTAAATACAAATTGGTTTCACAATAAGGATCATTTAACCAATTTTAAGGTTGCTCTAAACATTCTAAGCATGTCAAAACATAATCATTTATAATAGAAGGACTAAAAAATGATGTAAATAAATTACCATCTTTAGCAATTTTAATTATAATTAAAATATCCATAATTACATTATTAATTCTCGTATTATTATAATAGTAAATTATAATTTTAATTGTCTTAGCAACCTTCATTATCAATCATATAATAAGGGCATAGACAAATTTTATATTTTGCTAAATAAATGCGCTTAGATTCAGTGGAACAAGACAAACAATCATTACTAGTTGGACCTTCACATTCTAAACAACTATAATGACAGGATTAATCTGGATAATATTCCTCATCATAAATACAATTTAAAAGTTTCATATTTCTTAAGCTTACTCTAAAATAATTAGAATCAAGTTTCATAATATTTCCATATTCAAATTTAAGTTAAACCATATGAAACTGATTGACTTTAAATATTGATTCCAATTAAGTTCTCAACATCCCATCATATATCGTGATACTAAATTTTATTGTATTTTCTAACAAAATTACAGATAGAAAATGCCATAATGTCATTTTTGGTATATCAAAACTTTTCTTAATAAGAAATGAATTTTTTATGAAATCCATATTGAAATAAGGAAAACTATAATTGTATGTTGTAATGATAATTTGATTATTTTATTTAGAGATTTAATAGAATAGTTAAAAATTAGCTAAATTTTCATCTTTTAATTTTGAGCTCTCAAAATTGCTTGAGAGCTTCATTAATTAATATAAAAATTCTTCTTTGTCTGATTAGTACTCTGTAATTTTAATCCATGCTTAAAAAGCAAATGAATCACAATTTATATTAGTTGAAGTAAAAGATTTTTGATCCAGCCAATTAATATCAATATCAGGAATAATTTGATTTTAACTTTCCATACAAATACAATCTCGATCTAAGGGTGATAAACCTACGATATAATCAAATTATTAATCTTCAGCCAAAGATATTTAGTTGAACTCTAATACACTTATTTAGCCTGGATAATATGAAAAATTAGAATCATAATCAGTTTAAATTTGCTAAGTTTCTTCTATTTCTAAACCACCTCCAAATATAAGCAAAAGATTTTCATCATAATAAGGGAATTTAATTTTAAGAGATTGAATCTCAACAATAGTGCTACTTTAGAATATGTAATATGTAAATCTATTTTATTAAGGAACAAATGAAATGATAAGTTAATACCAAAAATATTCATATTTAGAAGGATCTATTTTTACTGAAAATTTATGTTATTATTTCTGATCATCTATAAATTATAAATGTTTTGTAATTATCAGGCTTTCCTCATTCAGACAATCAAAATATATAAAATTGATTCTTTTTGTATATATTTCCATAGCAGAATTCAAATGATAACATTTACTATCCATTATTCCAAAAACTCCTATTTATTTGATTGTGCTTAGAGGGATATATCGACTCCAAACTCCATAAATTCCAGTATCATCCATTTAATAATTATTTATATTCACAGTTAATGGAGTTGAATAATACTAGTATTACTCATCCAATTATATCACAAATTAACTATTAAATAATGTTTGCATCACTGTAATAAGGTAGGCAAAGCTTAAGTTTAAATTCATTAATTTAATATTGATAATGAAATAAGACAAACCTTTGATTAAAATTAAAAGTACGTTTTTTTGTTATCTTTATCGTTCAGCACAACATTTTGTTTGATAAAGGAAAAAGAAAAAAGTAATATTTTAGTTTAATTTTTTTGTGGCTACACAGAATGTTCTTAGTTTAAAATTTTGTTTAATATAATTCATTAAAGAATATAAGTATGATCTTTTAGAGATATAATTTTTATATTTAAATTCGTCTCTTATTTTCAAAAGAATAAGAAGTATGAAATTTATAAATTTAAATTTCTCATACAATTTATAAAATAAACAAATTAATTTATTTCTGATTATAAGTTTTACAATCAAGCAAAAATAAAGATTTAAGATAATTATGTGATTTAAAAACATTTTATTATTAAAAAATACAATTCATATTCAATTATGGTGAACTCTGGCACCATTTTTGGTTTAATACACGAGTATAATAAAGAATTAAGTGATTATTTTTCATGATAAATTTGCATTTAAAGTTTGCCTGAAAGAGCATATATCGAAAATATATTAATCATACATGCAATATTATGTGTTAAAATTTAGCATGATCTAAATCTGTCTATCCACTCACAAATAAGCATTCAAATCCTGAAGTAACTGCTTAACACTTTAATGGTGATGGTTTATTGATTAATAAAATTAGCTTAAGCTCCAATTGCATTTGATTTATTACCATTTATTTTTATTCTCCATTACCTTATCGTGTAAATTAAATTATAATACAATTTCTATTAGCTTTCTTGGTTGAACGGAGAGAATATATTATTATTATCACAAAACCATTTCGATAAGTAAAAATAATTTTGGAATTCTCTTCAATATGTTATATGAAGTACAAACATAACATGTAAAAAGATCATAGACATATTTTGATCTTATGTAGAATGTATAAACATTTTTGAAGTCCTTTTCATGGATGAAAGTGAAAAATCCATATACGATCTTAGACTCTTATCATTCCAAACAATTAATAGTTTCCATCCTCAATAACATATCAACAGAGGGAAATAAGGATTAACCATCTTTTAAGTCAAATACTTTATACTTTTTGATTTATTTGCATCAATCTCGATTAGGGAAAATAAAGTCAAAATCCATAATCATTTTTCAGTTTATCTAAGTTAGTTCATCTTTATATATTTGGGAATTCACAATTACATTTTCTCCAACTTTGATTAGGCTTTCCTTTAGTTTATATAAGTATTTTATAAATTTTTACCTCCAATATTTAAATTAGTTCCTCTCCAAAACGCATTTCATTTTTAATTCATTCCTTATTTTAAGTTTCTCATTATCTCAGGCTAAACTTTGGTCTCGATAATTTATTATCTAATTTATTCATAAATTATAAATTACTCTCTCAATTCATTTCCATCCACAATATCTTTTTATCTTTTGTTTATTCCAAAAAAATTTTATTGTTAAATTGTTTTTTCTAAACTCAACTCTTACTTCTTTGTATAGTCCATCCTACCAAGTCTGCTGAAAGAAACTTATATCAAGATTTTTTAACATAAAAGAATTTTAAATACATAATTTTGTTTAATAATCACGAAAGATTTCATTCTCCTAACTTTAAAAATTGAATAGAATTAAAATGAGCAGGTTTTTGCTTTTTAAAAAAAGTTTCTAAACAGGAATATGTTCATTTTATTAATTATAGAATTGATTTATAATATCTTGCCATATATTTTGCGATAAACTATGATTATAAAGAAGTTTATACTATCAAGTTCAATTTTTTATGTAAATTTCCATAGAAAAAGGGAATAAAAAATTTATTTTAAAATGCTATCTTTTTACCATCACAATTCTTCGCTATATATTTTAAATAAAAATAATTCATCCTGAAGTAACTTAAGTGCATTTGTTAAATTATAAATTCATCTATAATTAACATCAAAAGAAAATAAATTAATTTGCCTTTTATTGAATTGAAAACTACTTAGAGAAGAAGGGGGATTTATGCATGATATTATAAAGATACAGTGGATATTAATATTCAATTTTCTCCTTCATTTATTTTAAGCATTATTAAAAGAAAACTTGAAAAATTAATTCTCAATTATATTTTAATAATTATAATAACACTAAATGTCCAAACAAAAGGAATCTAATTCTTAAATAAACAGTTTTGAGCCTATTGGATCTTAAATTAAAAAGGAATAAAAATGCTATGCCTTTACTTTTAATACAAAAAATACCTTGCTTTTTGTAGGTCTGTAAAGATCATTAGATATTTATTCCTTCAAACATGGAACATTAAAATATTTGAAATAATTTATTAAACATAAAGAACAAATAAGCACTTTAAATTATTTAAAAAGAAATTAAAGCATTATTTCCACATCTTTTGATAACAGTATTATTGTATGGTCATAAAATTTATTATCAAGTTAGAAGTTCATTTAAAAATTAAGCAAACATAGTAACGGAATTTTATGTTTAGCAATAACACCTTTTGAGGAAGATTGGATAGTGAGTGGCAGTCATGATGAAACCATTAAATTCTGGAGTTAAAAGTAATCTTAATGGATTTGTTAAAAAAGTATAGAAGGAAACGATTCACCAATTTGGTCATTATCAATGCTTGAATCTGGTGTTAAATTTATATCATTAAGCTCTTATTATATCATGGTATTTAAATGTGTTAATTCTAAATGGATTATGAATTAATAGATAGAACATTAGACTTTTGGTTTAAGAGTTTGCTTTATAAATAATGGAACATTCATATTTTAACCTGAATATTAAAATTTTTTTTATGTTTATACTCTTAGTAAAAATGGAGAATACTATACTAAAACCCCAAATCCTCCTGATGATGATGCTGAACCAGATGATGAATTATTTCCTGCGATATATAACAATAAAAAGAGTATTGTTTTACTAAAAAATATGAATGACCTTTAGATATTTAAGGTTTAAAAAAATAAAGGTATGATAATTAATTAGAAATAGATAAGAAAAAAACAGACATTAAATTTAACTAATTGATTAAATTTAAAGTTACTTCTGTATATGGAACGCTTACTGATAATGGTGAATATTTAATAACTTGGGATGACCATTCCAAATTGATTTAAGTGAGAAAATGGATGAAATTAAAATGATTTAATTAATATAATAATAATTAATTAAGCATAATAAAATATAAGTATAAATTTACCTTTAAACAAGACAATAATTTTATGATTAAAATATTAATATTAACAATCTATATACTTCAATGAATTCTTTTATAAATATTATGTTTTAATATAATAATATTTCTTTATTGACATTTAATATCTTTTCCCAATTGATCCCTATATTATTATAAAATTTTTAGTAACCTTAATAAATTATTCTAGTTTTTCAAAAAATTCATTTGATCTATTTACTTCTAATTATCTATATACCACTTGTTAATATAATGTATGCCTATTGTTTGTCATAACAGTATCCCAATTTATCAGACAAACACCCTATATCTTCAATAGCAAAGCTACCATTCTATATTTCAAACTATTTTAGGTGCATTATTCATAGCAGAGATTGTACAAGGTAAAGAAAATTAATTACATTTACCAGCAAATAATGTCCAACGTAATCATTTGGTATTATTGAGAACAATCATTCATTTCCAAAAATTATATAAATTCTAACAATAATGATAATTAGAAGTTATAGTAAAAAAAGCCTTAGATAAATATAAATTATCCGAAAATACTAGAAATAATAAAATGAATAAGGCAATTCTATTTACATATGAATCTCTTAAATCTTAATTAAATTTATGAAATAATACATCATTTAATGAAAGGAGTAAATATATTAATAAATAAAGCAATCAAAAATAAAACTTAAATCGATTTTAATGCGTATTTAAATATAAATAACTCTTAAAATACATTGATGTTGGAATATCAAATTTTTAATGATACCCTTAAGTATTCAAATAACAATGTTAGCATATTCCATCTTTATAAAAGTAATTTTATTAATTCTACTTTGAATAATTTATCAAAAAATCATTATTATTAAAACTCAGATTCATTCTGATTTTTATCCTTTAAAGAAACTATGAGAATAATGATAACTGAGTTGTTGCGAAAATTCTAAATAATTAAAGAAATAGATTTGATTATAAAATATTTTAAATCTATTTTATTGTAGTAATACATGGAATTATTATTTTCAATTTAATAAAATTAACAACTTAATAAGAGTTATTTGTTAGCCTCAAAGAAAAATATACTTATTAGGTAAAGCTTTAATGATGAAAAGGATGAAAAATAAGATTAGTTTCATGCAGATTTTAGGGAAATCATATGATTAGTTAATTTAGATATACATTCTGATTCCTGGAATTAATAAATACCTATATTTTTTATATAAAGCTAGAAATTTTGCAATTTCATCTGTAATTCTGTTAATAATAATTTTTCATGCTAAAAATTAACCACTCCAATGATTATTGGATCATTAATTATTTTAGATCTTAAGTTTTCAACATTTTAAGAATGATCTGGTAGGTAGTTAAAACAGAGTAAATCCTAATTTATCTCTCATCTGTAAATTTTATCATCTAAATTTGCTAAGTAATACTTAAGTGATATGTTTGATGGTAATTGAATAATTCTCTTACTCACTTCATAAGAAGGATTCAAGTATTCAAACATTATTATTGAGCTCAAGATCTTTTCTAATTATGCCAAGAAACTTTTCATTAACTCAGCTTCATTCAACAATCCAGGTAATGCTAAACACTAGTATTTTTACATATTAATCAATTTTAATTCCTTATAATGTTAAATTTGTATCTTAATTATAACAACAATAAATGTGTTTGTTAATCAGAAATGCATATATACTCTGTTATACTTTTTGAAATCTCTGTTATACTTTTTGAAATCTTTAAAAGTTTTTACTCAAAAGTATCAGTTTACAGTAATTTTTTGTTAAATTTAGAATTAATTTTCTATAAAAAATGAAAAATAGATAAATAAAATCAAGTTCAAATATGCATTATTATTTTTAATGATACATAATATCATCCTATGTAATATAGATAAAACCCAAAAGAAAAAAGTTGAGACAGTGTTGTTTTTTAAGAGCATACTAAAATAAAAAGTTGAATTCAATCAGAACTAATCAATCTATTATGTATATTTATTGACTCTCCAAGTATATATTTTCATACATTCTTTTTCCAAATCTAAAATAATAGGTACCTTTCAAAATATTATTTTCTATTTTAATTTGTTAATTTTTATAAATTTAATAATCAGGGGATGAATAAACACAAAATATTGAAAATTTACTCAAGTCATAAAATTAATTATTTATAATGACAATGAAGATTAAATTTTTATATATTATATAAGCTTATAAACGATTTTGAGGGAATTATAGATAAAGATTTATTCTTATGAGTTAACTTTAGGTATAATATCATATAAGAGAAATAAAGTGTGTAAAATAAAATTCTTAGGCTCTCCAGAATAATCAAAAATTTTCTTTGATAATTGAATCATCTAATTTGATATTTGATTAAATTGAAATAATTAAGATTAGAAAAAGGTTTTGGCTTTAATAAACATTATCTAATATTATTTGGACAAATCTTTAAAGTTGGAGCAATTTAATAAAATGTTTAAATGATTTTCCTAAGTTTCTCATAAATTTAGATAAATTAATTGTTTTAATTTTAATACAAATTAATGTTATTTCAATGCATTTAAACTTGAAATTTTGGAATGATGTACTAATCTTAATTTCCTCTCTAGTGTTCTGAATTAATAGTTCCAAAGCTTAAAGATTTACAGTTTATACATTCCTCATTATTTTTTTACAATAACAATTCATCAACTTCCTGCTTACTTACAAGCTTAATTTATCTGGAAGTTAACAAATCAATTTTATTAATAGAATCCTGTAACGCCTCTATTTGTTATGTAAATTTTAGGGGATTTATTAATATTTATCTGACATCCAAATATTTATCAATTAAATTAGATTATTTATAAAAATATTGCCTAGAAGTCGAAGAAGTTATTAGTTTTTTAATACAAATATCTTTCAACTTAGAATCTTTCAATAGAAAATCTTGACTATATCCCTTGTTCTAATTTTTTATTATAAATCTTATTAAAAAAAGTTTATATAGAGTGGACTAAATTGGTAGAAGCAAAAAATCTAATAAAGCCTTTATAATTGTAAATAGCCCCCCTAATTTAGCAACTACATCCATTAAAGTTTAATATGTGATATAGCAAACCTTTTTCTTAGCATCCAAATGAACTTCAATTCTAGCCAATGTATTGAGATCTTAGAAATAAAGCACACTGTCAATGACTGTTTTTTAGTATTCAACCCCTTAATGATAAACCTACCTAGGAAAAAAATAGAAGGGATTGTATTCAAGAAAACTTTAAGAGTATTGATAATAAATTTTAATGTATTTACCAACTTTGTAATAAAGTGAAGTTAGATCAATATTTTCAGTTTGCTAATATGGTGAAGCATCTGATTCCTTATTAAATTGATGGAAGGAATAGGAGTAATAAAGGTTGGAATTTGCTGTATATTTATCGATTTCTTCATTAGATGCACAATCTAAATTATTAAAAAATGATACTAGATATATCTGTGTCATTTGAACATCTTTCAATTAGTGCTCCAAAAAAAGTAAAATTATCATAACGATTTGATCCTTAAATTCTTATTTAAGGATTCTCTTTGATGTACTCATCACTCATACAATATGTGATGTTTTCATATGCCTCTGGTATATTTAATTTCTAAGTAAAAGATTATTTATTTATTACTTTCGAAGCTGCACGAATTCTTTCACCACAAATTGTTCCTGAAATGGGAATACATTCTGTTTCATTCAATGATTTATTGCAGATGTAAAAGCTTATCTTAAATATTCTGTTGTCCATATTTGGAATAGGTTGACCAAGATTATCAAGTATACCAGCCGAAAAAATAAGATCAGTTGAATTGAAGCTGAATCCCTAAATCATTTTATAAACAAGAATTACTTCATTATTTTGAATGACAGCATCTTAAGAGTTAAGTATTGCATTTTTTCCTTTATTCATTTCAAGAATAAATAAACTACCTGAAAAAATAAGGATGCTAAATAATAATAAAGTCATAAAGGCTCCAATCTGAGTTTAAAAAAGAGACGAGCCTGATGCCTTTAGTCTGATTTGTTAACCAAAGATATCGAATTTTCTAAAGTTTTTAATTATCATCATCATTTAATTATAAGGAAATTTATTTATTAATAATTTGCTTAATATTTCATGCTATTAAAACTAAATTCATTAGCATATCGAACTGACATTAATTTTTCAAAAAATATATAGACATAATAATAAGTGTAACATTAAAAACTTGATCTTTATTGTTTAAATATGTTGAATGAGGAACTTTAAATTATTGAAAATTTGATTAAATTTCATAATTTTTACCAATATTTAATTTATATAATTTAAATATTATTACAAATTTAGGATAAATTAAAAATTCATATACCGAAAATATAAAATTGTAATAATCATTCGATATTCATTTACAACCAAGAAAATGTTCTAAAGGTATTAACATTAAGCAATACTATTTAATGAAACCCTAATATTTGAATAAAAATGAATAACCCTTAGAATAAATAAAAATGGAAAACAATAAACTAGTTGGTTTTACTTTTGAGAAATTAATACAATTCATATTTTCAGAATAAATATTGGAAACTATATTGTCTGAAACCAGGTAAAAGAAACTATTATTTTAGAAAATATATCTATCTGTGAAAAGGTATTAGTAAAATTAATTGATCTTGTTTTAGGAGAAGAAATTATTTTTAAAGGATGTTTCTATTAAACAGTTGGAAGTCATACTTCATTGCCCCAAAATTTGTTTTAGGTAGGAATTGAAGTTAGGTAATTATATCTATATATTTTAACTTTCTTCTGTTAATATAGTCAAATTTACATCAATTGATTTATCGAAATGATAATAAAACTATTTAGTTATCTATATTATTAAATATAAAGACTAGAATTAAGCTAACTAAGTCTATGTTGATACTTTTTGGCTTTTAAAGAATTCATAATTTGATCTAAAGCAATTAGAGATATGTTGAATTAAAAAAAGATTGAGAAATCAAATAATTTTAATTTGTTTTAACTCTTAAAAGAATGTAGAATAATAGTAAATGAATAGTTTGTAGAAACAACAAATATTTATTCATTCAAATCAATATACAAGCTATCAATAATTTATTTTGAAAATTGATTATCAAATATTTAAGCAGTTTAAGGTTACAAGAATTACATCTAGCCCTAAAAAAATGGGATGAAATGACTTAAAAATTAAGTAATCAAGTCTTATAATAATTATTACTAATTTCAAATATTTGATGATTGGAAGAGAAAAATTAAGTTTAAAAATGATAAAAAAGATAAATATAATCATTGAATTGGATAATTTTAATATAAAATTATGATATCATCATCAAATTTAACTTTATTTAATTGTGATTCCATGAAATATATATATATTAAATAAAGAAGAATAACATACTCTTTCGTCATTTCGTAACGTTCACTCACAAGGCCAAATATATTATAAAGTGGTTTCACTTCTTTATTTGTTTTTGCTAATGCTTCATACGTTGATAATGATGAACATATGAACCATGGCCTAATGGAGCTCCATCAAAATCAGATCCTTCTTCCATTATTTTCCAAAATTCTCCCCCATCTTCAGAATCAACTTAAAATACCCATGAATAATTAAGTATTGTTGGAGAATATTTTTCCCAAATCTTATATCCTTCTATATTTACTGATGAATTCTCTAACTATATACTATTCTCCTTTAAATCCTTCTATAATTTTAAGTGATGACATGGCTAATCTTTAATGAATATATCTTTAAGAATTTCTTCATATTGTTTTGTATCAACAAATGTATAATGATTTCCTTCTATCACTATCTAATATTTAAATGGTATTTATTTAATCCTGAAAATTTTATACATCTTCATACTCTCCAAAATTTGAAAAATCCCAACAATAAATATAGATATCCCATGAAAGTAAATCAATAAACATAGAATAAATATCATAAATAAAAATAACATTTTGAAGGTTTTCCATTAGTTCTTCTGTTATTTTATTGAATTCTATCATTAGATTTTATTGATTTTAAAAAAATTATTTTATTTTAAATTCCATAAATTTATGAGGATATCAGATTCATAAATTCCATTTCCTTCCGTTAATCCAACTCTCTAATAACTTTTTAAATAGCTCTATCTTATAAAATGATTTGACTATAACCACATCTTTTATCATCTACAATAAAACAACCTTTATATTTTGTTCCTTTATAGCATATTCAAATAGTCCTTCTCCTCATTTGTTATCATTAACATATTATCCTTGATATATGTATTCATTCCTTCTCATGTTTTAATTTCCCAAACTCATATCGATTTCTTTATCTTTTTATGAATTCACCCTTATAAAAATTACCATTATTTGAATAAAATTTACCATTACTATACAATTTTTAACTCTCCATAAAAATAATTGCCATTTTCAAAATACTCTTTAACCATTACCATAATATAATTAAATAATGAAATTCCAACTAAAATTTTTATTCTAATTTCTATAATTATTGAATCATTATCTCATATTTTTCCAATTTAGTTTAATGGTCATAATTTATATCGTAAAATGAAATCATATCTCTTTCTTACGTTGATTTTGGATCCAATAAAATCAAAATAAATAATGATCCTTATCCTATAGATTTTTTAATTAAATTAATGAATTAAATTTTATCAACAGATGGATACAAATCTTCCTTAAATAGGATTTCCATTAAAAGTATGATTTCTAGTCTATCTATAAAGCCATATAATAGTAATCTCTTATGAGGTCATCATAGTTAAGTTAAGAGAAATTAGCCAATCCCCTTGAAATCCTAAATTTTAATGGCTACTATTTCCTGAGGTTCAAAACTACTTTGGATACTTTGTAGCTGATGCCCTAACCGGAATCATAAGGATCCACCTACCCTACAATAATAAACTTTTATACAGAGTTAGAACTAGCCCCATATTACCAATTAAGTCACTATGAAGTCATTACAGGAATAGTTGATTTGGTATATGGCGAGGTATTGGTTTGAGTTACTAAACGCAGTTTTGGCTTCTCTAATCAATCTTTTTTGGTTGAAAAGGTCGAACAGTGGCAAAGAGTTAGAAATTTCATTAAAGCTTTTCACTTATTAAAATGCCTTTTAATGCATCTTTGCAGTGTTTTTGAGTGAATTAGGGTCTCAAATTAAATTTTAATTTTATTTGAGGGTATAAAATTTAAGAATTATTTAAATTATCAATCTTAATTGAGTCTAATCCTAAATCCAAATTAGATTAATCCTTCTATTCAAAAAATTAAATTTAAACAAGTAGAGTGATTACAATTTACACTATTATTAAAAAATATTCAATCTTACTGAAATAGATTACAATTACTGAAGCTGACCATAATTACATAAATAATGTTAAATAAATTAAGGACATTAGATCTTTTTATTGTTATATATATTATTTTATAATTATTCAATTGCTAATGCTGAGTAAAAAGTATCAAACACAACTTTCAAAAGATATATTTCAATTCTAAGGTTATTACGAATAAATTGAAAAGATATGTAGGAAAAAAAATTAAATAAGAGAAGCTATTCTCAAAACATTTTATTAAATATTTAATAAAATAATTCTGCTAATATTAAAATCAAAATTAGTAAGTTAATATCGCTCATATATATATTTTAGATGAGTAGATCCTTTCATTCTAAAGGATTCATAATTTTATTATACATCCACTTTATTTATTATAAAATTATATAGAAGAGAGAATTAAACTTTTAAAATACTTTAAGAGTTGTTAAATAATTTAAATACTCTTATAATTTGATGGAATTATTTATAACTAATGTTTACTAATTAACAATTGAATCTGGATAAAAGTTACATGAAATACCTAATAATTATAAAGATGAATGAATCTATAAATATCTTTTGTGATATTGTGAAATTTATTTTTGCTTATATTAAATAGCTAATATTAAGAAGACATCGCAATGTTTCTTTTGATAAGATGATCAAAAAAAAACAGGTACTATAGTGATTCAAATATATTATATCTTTTTATTCATCTGAAAATTATTTCATTACAGACAAATGCATATAAATTAATTAAATTTCAGTAAAAGAGTAAATATTGAAAGATTAAGTTAATGAATATCGATGATATCGGATGATGCAATTAAATTAATTATCCTAATTTAGATAAATTCAGTTCTGTTGTAATTATTAATTCAACTATAAACCTTTGGATTGTATGTAAATATTTAAGAACTTAATCTTGATTTAATCATTTAAAGATAATTTAAACTAAGAAATAAACTATTTCAGAAATCCTGAAAAATGAATAAAATCTTCCTGCAAGATAGAGATGTATTAAAATAGCTGAGTAGTTACAAATAAATTTTGTATTTAAGATTAAGGAAAATTATTGGAAATTTCTATATTATAACTCAGACTATTTTTCTATTAAGACGAAATAAGTATTTCTTGACATTTACTTACTTATTTGTATATTATTTTCTTAATATGATAAGAATAAAATGATAGAAAATCTAATTTTGAAGAGTTTCAGCATTTATATTGACAAGATTTTCGGCATTTAAAGGAATATTTAAAATATAATAGAATTTCAGATATTGATGGTTGATAATAAAAGTTATTTAAACATTATTATTCTAAATGGAAAATGATCAATTTATCTAAGGGTTACTTAAGTTCATTTAAAATTTGCAAACGATCAGATTTTAAATATGTCTATTGATAAGATTAATATTGTGTTTATTATTAGAATAAACTTTAAAATCAATATATCTCTGATTGATAATTCCTTTTAAAAGAGTTTTCTTTTTAATTGTTGATATTAAATTATATACATAAGAATACTCTAATTTTATGAACTTAATTTTTTTATTTTATACCATTTTCATAGGAAATTGGAACATTATTCTACTTTAATTGATTATAGTACCTAACATCTATTCAATTATTTTGTTATTTGGCCTTATCTTATTAGCATTTTTTAACATAGAATAGGCTATTTAATATTAACCACATGTAAATAAGCAACAAGCTAAAATAACTGTAAAAGTATACATTTTCAAAATAAAGAATTTATATGTTATGAATTGATACTCAATGCTTTATCAAAATACTCCATTGTTTGCTAAAATAACTGCTCTATAAATCTTAAATACAATCCTAAAATTAAAAATAGTTTTTACCTTGTGCATAAAATTCTAAATAATCAATTTATCTAATAGTTAATAATTTATTTATGTTGTTTAATGCTTAATCATTGAATCCTATATATAATATAATAATTAATAAAATTGATAATATTAAAAAATATTGCTAAAATTAATAAATAATAATTTGATACCTTTTCCAGCATAAAAAATCAACATAATTTACATCTTTTTTTAAAACTAAATCATAAATTTAATAACGTCTTGATATCTATCTTATAATCCTAAATAATATTGAATTCATATATTATAGACATTCTCCAAATTGATATGAAATATATATTTAACCTTATTAATAGAAATATTCTTTATTAAATTAATTTACTTATAAAGTTTTAATATAAAATTATAAGGCTTCATTGTATTAGTAGGTTTCTTTTAAATATTCAGCTTAATGAATAAAAAAGAAATAAAACCTATTCCAAACTAAGATGCTGAATTATTTTAATTAATTGATATGCATTTCATATAATAGTCCTTAGCTTCCTCATAAGATTTTTATTATCTTAAAATATCACCTAAATAATAAATACAAGAAAATATATTTTCTAAAGTGATAAATCATGTTTGAATTAATCTGAATAATATCTTTATATATTTATTTTGCTTCTACAGTTTATTCCCTAAAAAGTAGATATAATTAATAACCTTTTTAATACATTATTTCTATATTATATGGTTCATCTAACAATAATTTATCAAATATTTCAAGTGCTTCAATTTATTTATCTCTAAGATTTAAAGAGATACCTAAAAGATAGTAACATAAATGCAAACCTTTTTGCAATTCATTTTTATTAACAGTTATCCGTTATCTATTTATCTGTAATTTAATATTTAGTTAAATGTAATTCCAATAAATTATAAAGATCACCTAAGATTTTCTAAGATTTCTTCAAATAAGCAATTATATTGTTTTAGTGTGCTTCCTAAGTTCATCAAATTTAACAAAAGAATAAAGTCCTTATAAAATTTAATAGTGCTTGAGTTAATTAATTTTATCTTCTAATCCACAAAACTTATAAAATAAACAAGAAGTAAGTTTATCAAAAGATTTAATTGTAATTCCAACTTAATGCTAACATTCTGAATTAAATCCTTTGGGTATTTTGATTTCTCTCATAAAAATTTAAATAATTCATGAATGCCATTAACATCTTCATTGAAATGGTGGATATTTTTCTTTACTTTTTTTAAAAACAAGGCAAAAAACTCCGTTTTCTTAACAATTAAGATAATGTTTAATATTTAATAAGATAATATATTTTTAATGAATCAGGAGTAAAAATATTTGTACATGAGTCAATTTATTAGAATTAATATAAAGATCTTTTTCATTATAATACAAATATTTGATTTTTCTTTTAGTATAAACAGAGAGATAATAAGTTTGAAGAATAAGAAAGATTAGATATAAAGATTTTCCCTTATTTTATAACAACATTTCTCAATTCTTAAAATTGATAAGATATTATTACTTTTCATTAAACTAAATTATTATAAACTAAAATAAATTAATAAATATATAACATCTAAATTAATTAATAATAAATTTGGGTTTCATAGAAGATTATTGATCATTAAAAATAAAATATTTAACAAAATATATTGAAAGAAATTAACTATTTCTAATAAGACAAAATTATTATCTACTAAATTATTTTAAGCTTTAAAAAGTAGTTAAGTAATAATGAGGGCAGATAAAAGAATAAAAAGAAACTTTTTAAATTATATATTTTGTTGATAAAATATTTTTAAGATCAAAGATATTCAGAAAAAATAATTCTGAAATCAATAACTCTATGAGTTAATTTAAATTGTCTTTTATATATCATTTTAATTAATTTAATTAATTAAGTATTATGAAAATATTAAGATGATTTGTTGAGTGAAACTATGGAAGTTTATATCAACTTCCATAGTTTCACTCAACAAATCATCTTAACATTTTCATATAACTAATTTTCAATTTTGAAATATTTTCTCTTTATATCACATAACCTTTATATTTTCAAAGAATGACTTTGAATTTTCGCATTAAGACTTTATATAATAAATTTAAAACTTTTTAACTTAGTATGCATCTTTAAAAATACGTTTGTAATCACCTAAAATAATAATTACATTTATAGATTGAGAGCAATATCATTTTTATATAATTAATAAAATAATTAATTTTGAAACAATTTGAATGAAAAATTATATTTACAATTAATGGGGATCAGAATTTGATGAGATTATAAATCAGATAAATGAAGAATGTGGAAGTTTTTATTAAGTTGTAAAACTCTACAATCTTACAGCAAAGTTATAAAAATAATCATATTTATTATAGCCCTTGTTTGTGTGTTGATAGAAAATGGCCAGAGCTTTTTAAGAATAATACAAGTTAAATTTTTAAGTTTAACTATTTAAAACTTAACTAAATTATATTTTTAATTAAATTAAATTCAATTAAAACAATTTAATTTTTCTTTTGTAATTATAATAGGCAAATTCAATTTACTAATCCAAAAAATGTTTCAAAAATTACTCAGATCTCTTCTTGAGTTTACTTCATTATAGTCAATTAATGTTATTAAAATAATGCTTAATAAAATGGAATTTAATTATAATAATTTTAATGGTAAATTTAAAAACAATTAATTGTAAATTTATTTAAGAATTCAATCAGAAATAAATATGTTTGGAATATTTTTTTAATTGTGTTTCAATTAATAAATTAGATATTTTATCAACAAAAAATTTATATTGTCTAAGATTTTGCTATTTTATATCTAATTGCCAAAAAGCACACTATTTAGAATCAAATTTTTCAGAGTAATCCCAATAGGCTAGAAAAAGTAAAGAACTAGCTCCTAAATTATAATATTATAATTAGTTCATCAATTCTTTATAAAACTTTACTTAAAATTGTTCTTAAAAAATTTTACAAAGTACTCTCTCGTTCTCCTTTGAGGTCCGAAACTATTTAATATTCCATAGCCAATTGTATAAATCACATGAATTTACTTATTAATGTTTCTTATCAAGAATAAATACATTAAAATGTTTTAGAAATTATTATTACATAATTTTTATGAAGTTATCCAGATTAACAAACAAAAAGAAAGATCTCAATTTAAGTTATATAACAAAATCAATTCTAAAGTACTCATTCTTATCAATTAATATAAAATTTATCCTCTTTGTGATATGATTTAAAACTATGGTTTTGATTATTGGGAACTGAAAATTTTATTAAATTTTAAACATGCCTAGCATTATACTTTCAGATAAAAAATAATCTTCAACCTAAGTTTATTTTGAACATACTTAATAAATTTTTAGAATTTACATACAGAGAAGTAGGAAAAAATATACTTTAAAGTTCCTATAAATTAATTATTATATATCCAGAAGAGAAAAATTATTAATTATATCTTACAAATCATAAGTAAATTATATCTTTTATGAGTTAATGATTCAATTTCCCAAATCAACATTCCATAAACGGATAGATTTATCCACACTACCAGATGCTAAGGTATTACCATCAGGAGAGAAACATACCGTGTCGACATTCTTACTATGACCTTCCAATTCATCTTTTTATTATCCTGTCTTTACATCCCATAAACGAATAGAGTGATCTGCACTACCAGATGCTAATGTAGTACCATCAGGAGAGTAAGAAATCGATAGAACTGCCTATTAATGGCCATCTATTTATGATATTTATTTTCCTGTATAAACATCCCAAAAACGAATAGATTTATCCCCACTACCAGATGCTAATTTAGTACCATCAGGAGAGAAACATAATGATCTGGCTTTACTTGTATGACCATCCAATTTGGCTTTTAATTACCCTGTCTCAACGTCCCATAAACGGATAGAACAATCCCCGCCAACAAAATTAGGTTCTCCGCCACCAGATGCTAATGTAGTACCATCAGGAGAAAAGCAAACTGAGTGGACAGAATCACTATGACCATCCAATTTGGCTTTTTATTATCCTGTCCTAATATCCCACAAGCGAATAGACTAATCAATACTACCAGATGCTAAAGTAGTACCATCAGGAGAGAAAGATACTGATAAAACCCAATCGCTATGACCATCCAATTTGGCTTTTTCTAATCCAGTCTCAACATCCCACAAACGGATAGACTTATCCATACTACCAGATGCTAATGTAGTACCATCCGGAGAGAAGCTTACTGACCAGACCCAATCACTATGACCATCCAATTTTGCTTTTTATTATCCTGTCTAAACATCCCATAAACGGATAGAGTTATCTCCACTACCAGATGCTAATGTAGTTCCATCAGGAGAGAAGCATACCGATAAAATCTAATCGCTATGACCATCGAGCTTTTTGGCTATTTTTTATCTTTTATCAATCTATGAATAGGTAGAGTTATCTGGACTGTCAGATTCTAATGTAGAAACCTCAAGGGAGAGGCTTATTGATAGGATAGGCTTATAATGACCATTCTATCCTATTTCAAACATAGATAGAATTATTATAATCAACAGGAGCAATTTTATTATAATCAGGAGACATGTACAGATTGATCGAATATTATCTAAATGACGATCCTAATTGGCTTTTTATTATTCTGGCTTAATGTCCCATAAATAGATTGACTTATCATCATTATCTGAGGCTAATTTAATATCATCCTAAGTGAGGTATATAGAGTATAATCCATCAGAATTTATTGGAGAACGATCAGGAGTAGAACATATTTAGCTTACTTCATCACTACTTGCACCCAATTTATTTGATTCATGGATTTTTTGACTGATCAACATATGTTTCCAAAATATATTAAACTAATTTATTATTTTTATCTCAAATATTTTCTGTTTTCTAGATTAAAAATGGTGTACTATTCATCAGAAATAGAAATTTTTTAATCTTAGATAAGGAACATGAATTTCATAAATTTTTATTTATATCATTCCAAATGTATGTGAAACACTTGTCGTCTCATATAATTGATAATCATTATTAAATTAACAAGGACGCTTCAGAATACAATAAAACTGTTATATAGAAAAATCCAGAAAATGCAATAGTTAAAATCAATAAGATATTAAAAATTGAATGTTTTTAAGCAATACCTTATTTTCATCAATCGACTTCAATTAGTTAATAAAAACTGAATAATTTTAAAAATGCAATTGAGTATTATGATTTTGAATTATGTTTTTGAGCAATTATGCTTCTATTATTTATGATTGTAATTTAAATGTATTGATATTGCTATCTAAAAATATTTTGAATCTTTTTAAATTTGTTATTACATAGGCTACTATCCCAAATTATTTATATTAAAATGCCTTGCATTAAATAAGAATCATTGATATAACTAATAGATTTTGATGAGATAAAAAAATTTTTTTACACAATTAATAAAGATGAAATGTTGAACAATTAAATATGAATTTACAAAAAAATTTAAATATAAACGAATAAAAATTCATTTAGAATTGGGATGTTTTTTAAAGAAGGTTGAATGTGATTTAAATCTAGTAAATATAAATTGATATTAATGTGAATTGAACATTGCTTTTATAACATTTCTTAATGAATTTTAAATATAAAAATTATAAATGGGAAATACAAATGTTAACAAAATTATGCTCAGTTCTATAGAGAAGCAAAAGTACGATAAAATAGTAGAAATTATTGAAGTATTTCATGACTTGATTAGAAATATCCACAAATATTGTCGGAAGATTTAAGTTAAGAAATATAATCAACTCCTTTAGCCAGAGCTGTCTGGAGAAATGACATCTATTTAGTTGATATATTAATAAAAGTAAAATAAATTTGATAGTAGAACGGGGCTGATGTTGACAATGGAGGATCTTCAAGCATAACTCCATTAATGTGGGCATGCAGAAGAGATAATGCCTACCTGGTCTCTAATTTAGTTGAATATGGAGCTAAAATTGTTACAAAATCAAATGAAGGATACACTGCATTAGATTATGCAATAGTTCATGGTAATTATAGACCAGCTTTATTTTTATTTGAATTTTATTAAGAAACTTTAGAATATTTTGATTACTACCAATTTGCTAAGGATAGGGACTATAGATATGTTAATTATGAAGTTATGTTATCGAATTTGAAACAAAAAGTTCCTTATTCATAGCTACCAAATATATTTAAAAAACCTGAGAAAAAAAGATTAATAGATCCAGTTGTTGATCCTAGAGAAAGTTGGAAGCAATTAATAGTTAGATAAATCGATTTCAAAGAACCTCCTTTGGTTGAAAGAACTGAATTACCTGAAAATTTATAACCATAAAATCGATTTTGGGGAAAAGTTAGATAATAGATCAATGGATTATCTGTTTAGCCATCATAGAGGATGAATTAAGGAGATGAAGGCTAGAATTTATAACAAAACATACCGTAAGAAATCAAATCATCAAAAAGTTAGGACTAGGAGCATTCTAACATACATATAGACTAAGTATCAGTAGGTTGAAATACTTGAAACAAAATTATATAATATTACATATTAAAATAAATAAAGAATTGATTCTCCTCAATTCTTATGTAAGATATCTATTCTGTAAATACAGAAAAGTAAGCAATCTTTGGGATAGTACTGATTAATAATATTTTAAAGTATTCAACTATTACCAATAATTTTTTGTTTTTTTAGGTATTCTAAATTTCATCGTTTTAGTTAAATTAAGCATGATTAATAATTTCAGAATAATAAATGTATTATTAATATTATTTTCAAAATATTCTCTCAAGTTTATTCCATCCATAGTAAAGCAACATTATCAAATGATGCAGTAACAAAAGAGTTTTATTACGTACTCAATGCTATTGAGCTAACACATTTATCATGCAGTTTTCTGGTAACTTAACATTTTCCTGTTAGAATATCATAAATTACTATATTTTATATATATAAATTACGTAATTTTCCATCCTCTGAGCCTGTCAATATCATTCCATCATTCCAAGAAAATTCACAATTTATTGAATATTGATTGCTTATGTGACTGCCTTAAAGTGCAGCTAATATTGATCCAGAACTTCTTTCCAATATTCTAATTATTGAATCATTGCAACTTAAGGCGAACAATCTATCATCAAAACTAGAGCTAAATTTAAAGATTCCTGCCTTCACAAAGTCTTCTTATATTATTCCTTTTCTAATATCAAATGTTCTTATATAAACAATATTATAAATACCTAATGTGTCCATCAATAGATGAAACTATCATATTATGATGATAAAATGAAATTTAAGTTACACTATCTTAAAATTCTTTTATTCTTTATATTGGTTAATTTTATTTCTTATCTTTCAAATCCCAAATTTTCACCTCACAATCATATCCCCCTGTAGCTAAAATTGATTATTCACCTCCTATTCCAACGCAATTAATCCTTGTACTATGAGGCCCAAATTTTTTAATCACTTAACCTGTAGACACATCCCATAAAAAAGCAATCTTATCTCCTCCACAGGATACAAATTTAGAATTATCTTATAGAATAGCAAGGTCTTATACTTCATAATTATGTGCTCCAAAATATTATTTTAATTATGTTTCTTTATAAGGATTCCATAATATTATTGATCTATCTTATGAACCAGTTAATAAATATTATCCATCAAAATTGAATTTAGCCACATATATTTACGCTTTATGTCCTTAAAGAGCTCGTTAAGGTTCATAAAGATGAAAATTTTAGGTTTTACTTTTATTCATTTATATATTTTATTTATTATAATATACATAAATCATAAATAATTGTTTTATTAAAATAGAGTCAATTAAATAATAAACAAATAACAGCTTTTTTCTTCCAGATGAAGATACTATCAGCCTTTCAAGATATATAGATTTTTTATAAAATTTACAATTATAAAAAAATAATAAAATAAGAATAATCTCATTCATTAAGAATATTTAGAAAATCATTTTAAATGAATTATTGAAATGAGTACTTTCTTTTATTTTCATTTTGTAAAGCTTCAACTAATGTATTTAATGAAAATTTAAGAGACTGATATATAATTTCATCATCAGATTCATTGTCATCATCTTAATTCTAAAGAAATCATTAACACATTTTTACTCTTGGTTTAAGCAATTAATCTTCTCCTTTTTTATGTGTTATGATATTGTCATTATAACATGGAAATGCGTAGACTCTGTTTTATTGCTTTAATCTTATGTAAGATTTTTGTTTAATTTTAATTGCTTTAAACTACTCTTTACTTGCTTTGATTTCAGTATAGTTTGAAATCTCTTTAACACTTCTTTTAATTCCCTATTTAATTTCTACTGTTTAGTAACTCTAGTCTTATGAACATGAATTGTTAATCATTAATAATTTTAAATTTGAATAAAATTTTCCCACAATTTTGCTTTTATTTCAAATGTTATATAGTTTAAGGAAATAAATTATTTTTTATTATATTATTCTATTTCAATAGTTACAATAGAGGAGATTGCTTAAAAAGTTCATCACAAGAAACGAATGATATTCAGATTAAAAAATATTATTTTTACAAAAAAAATAATTAATATTAAAAATACTTTTTTTAGCTTAAAAATTAGATTTAATAAATTTTACATACCCTCTAGGATTCCATAGAAATATAATTTATTTCATGTAAGAATCAATCCTTTATAATGAAAAAAACTGAAACAATTCAAGAAAGTAATAATTTTATAAAGAACTAAGAACCTATGAAATAATTTAATGGCCGGAATACATAACTTATGATCATGTAGCTCATTCTTTCTTGCTTGCTTCTTCAAAGTTTTAACCCTATACTAAATCAGGAATATCATCCTCATCTTTTTAATCAGCTTCTGTTATTTTTTCTACTTTTTCCTATCATTATTATTTTAAAGTTTGTACCTTTTAGTTTTCTTTCATTAATTCTTAAAGGAGAGACATTTAATTTGGTCCAATATGATTTAGAATTTCTGGCATCAACTCTTAAAACTTTTTAGTTTCTGGATTTCCAAATATCGCAAATGTATTGCTTCCAATAGCTGCTTAGACCTCTGGTTTTGAGAAGTGAATAATGGTATTATCATCTTTGAAAAAATTGACTTCATCAATATTTCCTAATTACTAGACTCCAAATTTCTTTATGACTTATTTCAATTTCTTGTCATCATTAATCTATAATCATTAATTCCTTATAATACTTAAGTTTAATGAACATTTTTATGCTTTCTTCTTGCCAAAGTGCTGCCCATCTTGGTTTATCCAAATTTCTCTGCTAATTTCTTTCTATTCTCATCAATCTCAGCCTTAATTTATTCTTTGTTAGTGGACATATGCTGTTTTATTTATTATTTAAATTTAAAGATTTAATTTTTTAATGGAAAACTATATAAATATTTATATAATATTAACTGTAAAAATAAAGAAATCCTACCTTTAAGTGAATACAAAAAAGACTTAAGGTAACTATTTTATGAATAAATAATTTAAGGATATTCAAAATTAAAATTTTAAATTCTGTTTCAAGTATTTATTTTTAATTAAGATCTTCTCCATGACTTAATTTTCACAGTTTTGAATAATCTACTATTAAAAATATACTAAATAATCAACTTGTATTCTAAAATTTATGTGAAGAAATTCTATTTTCTAACATCTTTTTAAAAAAAATATTCAAACTGAAGCATTAAATATTAAACACTTTTTTTCATTATAAAATTTAATATTTCTTTATAAGATATTATATCTTATTCCCTTCATTCATAAATAAAATCTAATAATTATTTAATAGAAATTTTATAAATTTGTGTTTTTTTGTTTTTTTATTTATTCTTAATAGTTTGATGAATTTTATCATAGTATTAAAAATTATGATGATGATATTATTTGATTATAGAGGTAGATGATTTTTTTTAATTGAATAATAATGATTAAGGTTAAATAATTAAATCAAAAGAATTTATGATTAATTAAGGCATATGAGTAAATATTATAATAACAGAGTAGATGTGTAAAAATAATGTACAATCATTATATAAAAGCATGATTTAATCACTTTTTCTAAGTTCCTTTAACTTTTGGTTATGCTTAAGTTCCTGCTCTAAAACCATTCTTTGCTCTTCTAGCAATAGATTTCAAATATCTCATTCTTCCTGTTCCTGTTGATCTGCGTCTTGCAACTTTTTCTCCCCATCCACTATCTATAATTGTATTTATTGAATTTCATACAAAGTCTCAATCTTGCAGCTGGATAACCACATGAAGCACATCTATTTTTTTAAATGTGAAAGGTTTATCTACCACATCTTTTGCAGAATGTGTGGGTCTTTTGATGTCTTTTACCGATTGCTGGTGTACCTCTTGCCATTTAATTATTTAATAAAAGATTTAATTTAATCAAATATTCACTAACATGAACAAAAAATAATGATAGGAATTCTTCAAAAAGATCAAAAAGAATTAAAGTACACAAAGACAACCTTTTTTTTTATGAAATTTATTTTAAATTACTTTTAATATACATTAATGACTTTTAATTTTGTTAAAAAGCTACAAATAATAACAGTTTTCTTTAATATCATTTTTCTCAATCAATCATGATAATTACTTATACGATTATTATATTTCTAAATTGATTTAAAATTTTCTCTGTTATATAAATTGAATCTATCTAATTGAATTAATTTAATATAGAAAACTTTTTAATTACATTTTTCAACTATTTTCAAATCAAAATCAAGTTTGAAATTAATAAAAAAGAATTTATATATGCTTAGAGTAGAATTTTTAAACATAAAAAAAATATTTCTTAACAATTTTTATTGAAATTTAAAATGATTGTCTTGCTAGAATAGAATTTTAATAAATAAACCTTTGAATTTATTACAGCTTTTATAAAAAATTAGAAATATACATAAATAATTTTTGTATTTAATTAATTAACAGATGTTAAATTTACCTATTGGCGTTGATGTTTAGATGATCCAAAAAAATAAGCTATTTTAAAAATTTATGCAATAACAATAGCAAGAAACTTAATAAAAACCTTAAATTTAATAAAAAACATACAATAAATCAAATCATGATTCTATTGAGGATTAGAAATATTCTTAAGAGAAAATGGAAGAGAGTTCCATCTATTAAGATTTTGCAAATTTCGCTAAAGCTACTAATTATAAGCAATCATCACCATATAATTATAATAGGCAATAATAACAATAAATTGTTTAGTTGAATCAAAATTAAGGAAATAATATGAATTAAGAAGTTAAGGATTTGTAATTTAAGAATAAATCCTTATTGCAGTAGAACTCTATTTTATAACAATAGTTGATAGATCTTTAATAAGTTATTCATAGATAAACAATTGATTTAGATATATAAAAAAACGAGATTTTGAATTAAAAGAGAGTTGTGTAGGAATAATAAATAGAAATTGAGTAATTAAGAAGGTAACTATAAGAAAAGAGAAACAGTAGTTTAGAAAAAACTAGATAATTTACAATAGTTCAAACTTAATTGATATAATCAAACCAAATGGTAGAAAAACTAATTTCTTAATTAATGAATTAAGAGTCATAATTAAGTGTAAAAATATTAAATTATATGAATAGTTATATCGATAAACATAGATTAATTTTCCGAAAATGGATAATTTATAGTTCAATGTAGATTAAAATAAATCGAATTTGATGAATGCCTAAAATCTTCTAAATAATCCATCTATATCATAGACATATCCAACTTAATACCAATAGGCAAATTCATAGTTACAATAGCAGATCCCTTAAAGTATTAGTTAATAACATTAATCTTAATTTGCTATATAATAATAACAACCGATTTAAATTTCATAATAATAGTAATAATAAAATCCAAATCCTGTCAGTTAGCCAACAAAATAATAACAATAATTGGAAGCTGATACCTCATATGAACGCTATTTAATGCATAAAAGGGGAAGACATTGATATTTTTTTAAATATTTAAGTTTTTACTAAATTTCGAATGAATTCAAATTATTTGTATAATTTTGATAATTATATTAAAAAGCTAAGATGAGTCTATAAACAAGGTCTATGGAAAGAACATCAGCAGGCGAAAAATAATAAACTTGGCACTAATATAGAATTTTTATAGAGGAAATGAATTCATTAATTGGTTCAGCTTTAGTGGAAGAATTTAGAAATGATAATGAAAATGATTTTAACCCAAATATAATTGTTGGAAATGGGGAAAGTTTACCTAGAGGAGCAACAAAGTTAATAAATGCAGCAGATCCAAAAGAATTAGGTTAAGTAGTATTAGATTGTGATATTGTAATTTTTCATTAGAATTATTGCAGAGCAGAATATGCTTACAAACTTTTAAAGCATGGGTAATATTAGTAGACGAAAACATTTATTTTAATAAGTAATCCAATGACTTGGTCTACAACACCTTTAAAAGATAGAAAAAATGATGAAACTGCTATGAGACAATCAATGGGAGGAGAGACAGAAGAGTAACCATTTTTGAAAAAGTATGATAAATTTACAGAAAATGATCTTCCTTTGAGAAAAATTCATTTTTTAGAAAGATTAAAGCATTTAGAATAATAAATAATGGTATGTGATAAACCATAAATGCATGCATATATAATAACTCCAGGATTAGTATATGGTAATGGAGAGGATATATTATATGATTTATTTAAAACTGCATGGATGACACCAGATGCAGAATTGCCAATATATGGAGATGGAAATAATATTATACCTATGATTCATGTTAATGATTTAGCTAATATTGTGAATAAAACAGTTTAATTGACCCCAAATGAGAGATATATATTTGCAGTTGATTATGAAAATATGACCTAGAAGAAATTAATAACAACTATTGCAAAATCTGTAGGTAATGGGTTTACTAAAAATGTAACAACAGCTACAGAGAAAATGCTAACAATAAATGTTTGGATGAGATCAACCTAAGTTTTTGAATCTGATGATTAATATATTGATGCAAAAAAGAATCCAATAATTATATGGTAATGTAAAGAAGGATTTGCTAAAAATATATTAAAAATTAGAGAATAATTCAAATTATACAGAGGTTTGGATACAGTTAAATTAATTGTACATGGAGGAACTGCATCAGGAAAATCTAATCTTTGCAAATAATTAGCTAATTTTTATAGAATTCCTCATATATAGATTAAACCTTTAATTTAAGAATTAATTGAATAATAATCAGATTTAGGAGAATTAGTTAGAACAACTCTTTAGTAAGTTAAAGAATAATTGGTTTCAGAAGCATTAGCAATATTTGAAGCAGAAAAAAAAAAGAAAAAAGTTCCTAAAGGTTAACCAGAGCCAGTATTTGATCCATCTGGCATATAACCAAGACTTCCTGACTCTGTCTTAATATAAATATATAGATGGAGATTAGACTAAAATGATGCCTAGAATTTAGGTTATGTTTTAGATGGTTTTCCAAAGACATTAGAATAATATGAAAAACTATTTTTAAATGAAGAGGGTTAATTATTAGAATCCATCAAACCAAAAGGAGTAATTTATTTAGAATATCCTGATGAATAATTAAAAGAAAAAGCAAAATAAATTATAGACAATCCTAGATATGTTGAGGATTAAGTAGTCAAAAGATTGGCTAATTTTAGAAAGAATAATGAATAATTGTTATAATAATATGAATAGTTTGATATTAAAAGAATTTCAGACTAAGAAAATGCTTTTGAATAGTCTAAAGATTTTATAACTAGGAATGGACCTATTTTGGTATTACAAGATGTTAAAGATGAAGAAGTTGTTTAGACTGAAGAGTAATAAGATGATGTGACACCCTCTCCTTAAGTTAATTCAAGTTAACAAGATAAAGTTTCGGCTGCTTAACAATCTTAAGTTTAATAATCTTAAGTAGGACCTAAAAAAAAGGGAGATCAATTAAATGTAATTTCATTTATTAATTTAGAAATCAATAAATGAAAGTAGATTATCAAAGGATAATAAGAAACTAACTGATGAACAAAAATAAGATCTTATTAGACAATAAGAAAGAGAGCTTTTAGATTAAAGAAGTCAACCTTTAAGACAATATTTGGCTGATAATGTTGTTCCTTTCTTAACAGAAGGTTTAATAAACATATGTGAAAAACATCCTGAAAATCCATTATAATTTTTAGCAGACTTTTTAGAGCAAAAAGGAAATGAATTATAAGCTTTAGGACAATGAAATTTATATAAAATTGCAATTATAACATCAAATAAAAATTTATCATTCTTCATAACTATCAATTTCCAATATTCAAATCTAATTTAATGCAATAAAATATACCAATAATCATTTTCTTAACTAAAATAGATAAATATTCTTTTTATTAAGTTTTTTTTCAGTTTTAATTATTTGAATAGCAATCAGTTCGAAACTGAGTATCGATTTAGAATATTTAAAAAATTCATTTTTATTAACGCTTAATAAAGATTAATTAAATATATTTTTCATACTCAATTTTAATTCTTATTAATAATACTCATTTTTTTCATTGTAAGAAGTGGTGAAAAATATAATTATTCTAAATTATTTTTGTTAAAAGAGGTTTTTCAAAGGTCAGAAAATTAAAAAATTCAACATAAAATTTTGTAACAATCTTCAGATTTTTTCAAATTAAAGTACAATTGTAATCGAATAGGAAGAAAATATAGTTTTTGTGATTATTGCATAATTATTTGTAGTTGGTATGTTCAAATCATAAGAATTTATATTAAAAAAAATTTAATTATTTGTTTGATGAGTTATAGAGAATTAGTTCCAACAGTTGAAGATCACAATGCTGGTCATGTAATAGGTTTTATAATTGGTAAATGAAAATGTAATAAAAGGATTACTATATATGTTTGCTTTTGTTTATTACATTTATAAGAAGTATTTGTCAAATCTGTTTGAAGACTTTATGAGTTTATTAGATGTAAGTAAACATTTAAATAGTTAAAATTATAGGATAAAGAATATGAAGAAACTTATCGGCCTATACTATATAGTTTACTGAATTCGATGCAATTTTTGATTTTATGCTTTTACTCAACTTTCAGTAGTAAATCAGATTTAGGTGTTTCAGTAATTATTGGATCAGATGCCTTTAGTATATTATTTATATTTGGATTAATTTTAATAAAATTTCCTAATTCCCATCATGGAGTTTTAGACACATGGACAACGTTAAGGGATTGTGTTATTTATATTGTAGGATTGTTAGTGATGCTTTTGTGTCTTTATTATGAATGGGCTAAGATAGGAACAGCTTTGGTTTTATTAGTTTATTACATATTAGATTTAATTGTATTAGCAGGGAATTATGAAATAAAAGAAAAGATTATGGAATGGTTGACTCTAAATAATGAGGATAATGAATTTAATTCAGATTAACATATGGAATATAAAAAAAGAAGATATTCAATTACTTAATTGAGAGATGCAGGAATGGTCGATCTAAAAGACTAAAGTTTATAAAAAAAAATTAATACTTTTGAAGCAATTTTAGTGATCAAATATGGATAATAATAACCATAAAAAAAAAGAATTAGACAAAGATTTGGATCAATAGTTTATGCCATTATTTTTTCAATCAGAAATTCAATAAAATCAGAAATTTAAAAAAGATCAGAATTTTATTAAAATCTTTATAAACCTAAATAAAAACAAAGATAATAATTAAATGATGAATAGCCTCAAAGTGCTATAAAATAAAGAAATGATTAATAAGATAATGATTAAGATGATAATCCATTAATAGATTCTAATCCTATGGAATCTGTTCACCAAGCCAATAATTAAGATTAACAAAATTCTTAACATTAAAATCAAGATGAATAAATGAACTAAGAATAATCTAAACTTGAAATGCCTAAAGAATCCTTAGATAAAGTTTTATTTATTATTTTCTTTCCAATTCATCTTATATTGTATTTACTTCCTAATTATAATGATAATGTAGTACCAAAGAAATTAGTGTTGTGCTTTTTCTTAAATTTAGTTTTGCTTTGTGGATGTTACTATTTAATTGATTGGTGGGCATTTGAATTAGCATTAGCAACTGGAATTCCTTTGTAATTAATAGGAATGATCTTTTTGGGTTTTTTAACATAAATTTAATTTGCTAATTATAATTTAGAAGTTGCTAAAATTGAAACAAAATTAGAATTTACTTAAGCATTCTTTTAAACAGCAATTTGCAAAATATCATTATGTACAGGATTACCTTGGGTTTTAAGAATTATAATAGATCTTGATATTGAATATGAAATGGATTATAATGATTTCCAAAGAGCCTTTTGCATTTCAATTGCAGTCCTCTGCGTGATAGTTTTTATTTTACTCTTACTTGCATTGGCCAAAGGATTTAATTTGAAATCCTAAGACGGAGTAAAAATAATTGTTCTTTATGGATTATTTATTTTAATATCTGCTATTATTATTGGATTAAATATTTTAAAGTGATGATAAATTTAATAAAGAATATCTATATAATTTTATATTAAATATATTATTATAAAACAATGATATTTTTCTGAGAACGAATTACAATATTTAATTGAACATTATTAATAAAATGTCTAAAAAATTGAATTCTAGTCAAATCAAAAGTTAAAAGGGTGATGAACATTCATGCATAACTGATTTTACTTTAAATGAATGTGAAAATAAAAAACTTAAGATGGTCACCTTTAAAGATGATGTGCTTTATATTCATTTTAACAAAAAAGATTGTCCAATTGCAGTGAAAACATTACTACAAAAACACTTACAATAGTAAAGCTCTTCCACCTTAACTATATAATGAATATTAATATTCTCATTATCTTATTTTACTTACTATATCCAAATTAGATTTTTTTATGAATGAACTAGCTATTTCTCTATTCAAGCTATTTAAAGGAAACAATAAATTTTGAACTGTTGCTAAATTTAATAAAGATTTACCTACATTTTTCTTTCTCTCATTCTTCCTCAATTAAATTTAGTACAAAATGGAATTGCTTTGGATTACTAATCTTTCTTATTTAAAAACTAATAAAATAAATTTTTGATCATTTATATAGATGAGTATAAATGAATAACATTAATCTGATTATTATATTTCATTTGTAATTTAATTTAAAAAAAAAATTTCCTTAGAATAATATAATTTATGTCGAAATTTTGTATGAATTCATTTTTTTTTATAAAATATTTAAACTAAATATTAAGAATGGATTTAAAGTTAACAAAACTTAAAGAAACTTTTGACAAATTAAAAAATTATACTTATAGATTCGAAATAATTGAAACTGGATAAGACGCAACATAAGAATTTTTATGTAAATTATTTGTGAATTCTTTATTAATTTCTTAAGGGTCAGGTAAAAAAAAAAAAATTTCTAAATAATAATGTGCTGAATAAGGATATAATGAATTAATAAAAAAGGATTGGGAATTTGCAGAAAAAAATAATATTGCTAAACAAAAAAATAATTATATTGAAAATCTTCTTCATATGATTTCAGAAATGAAATCAAAATTTCATATTTATAAACTTTTAGAAGAAACAATTGAAGATTCGGGAGGCTATAAATAATGTTATTTAGAATATGATAATATAAAAGCTGAAGGATTTAGTTTTAATGAGTTGGAAGCTAGAAATACTAGTTCTTATAATATGATCTAAGCAATAATAGAAAAACATCCTTATGGTTAATACTTTGATATTATTAATTATTCTTAAGATCCACATAAAAAAGTGAAAATAGAGTATAATGATAAAATATATGACAATAATCCAAATTAACAGATTATTTAGCAACATAGTCAAGCTAAAGCAAATAAATTACAAAATTAATTAATTTCTCTGAAAATAGAACATTAAGATATTCCTTAACAACCAAATTATAACTATACCTAGGAAAATTGTGATCTTAGTTATTAATTAGCAAAGTAACTTTAATTAAATAATGAATCATAATTCATATTTCTATCATTTATGGAGTATTTAAGACAATTCAATTTCGAAATTGTTGGATCTTTTTTATCTAAATCAATTAGAATAACTAAACCTGAATTAGATGTTATAGTAGAATATCCTTCAGACCTTGGTATAATGTAAGACTTTTATGCATTGTAAACTTAAGCATAAGGAAAGGAATTTAGAAGAACACAAGAAGATAATGTCATAACTTTTACCTATAATAACTAACCAATAACAACTATTTTAAACATTAATTAAATTCCACCTCTTGCAATAAAATTATATTTTTAAACTGCAAAAATTGATGAAAAACAATTAATTCATACTCGTGAGATGCAAGAATACAATAAAAAATATGAATAATTACATTTTTCTTCTTTATCTTTATGTCTTGTTCATTAATGGAGAGATGATAATTTGGAAATCTTGCCAAAATAAGTATTTTTATTATAATATTATCTTAGTTATTAGATTATTTAGTAGTCTAAACAACTAACTAATTTAATTATTTAAACTCACCTTATTAGGTTTTAAGCTAAATTATTTATTTATTAAAAATAGGAGTTTTGGAAGAATTAAATTAAAGAACATTTGAAGACATAGAAATAAATCCATTTTTGTAATCTATTTCAACTTATTATTTGGACCTTATAAAAGAGATAGATAATGAATCTCTAATTTAAATTAGATAATGTGCTATGCAGTGGAATAAATTGAAAATTTATAATTGGTTGAAGAAATATATTTGAATATGCTGTAATAATATAATTATTTTTATTTATAATATTTTATTGAATAATAATAAAATAGAAAGTAAAATAAACTAATTAATAATTAATTGTATTACTAATTTCATTATAGGAAATGATTCTATTAAATCAGCCACTGAAAAAAACAATTGATGATTTTAATATTATTACAAAATAATAATAGAATAATTTCAATATTATTTTTTAATAATTTTGTAGAATTCTCCTAATTCAACACAAAGTAGAAATAATGATTTAAAAAGTGATAATAAATTCCTTTTTTTGTTTTAATTCTTATTATAAATGGATTGTTTTAAATTCATCTCAAAGAGAATGTTGAAATTTGAGTGCAATTAAATTATTGATCTCCATTAACATCCATAAAAAAAACTATGATTAAATCTAAATTCTAAATTATTTTAAAATAAATTATATCACTTTTGAATTAACCCAGATTTGAATTGTCTTAAAGTACTGATTAGTTTTATGAAATATTATAATTAATATTTAAGGAATTAAAATAATCAAATATTTGTTGACCAAAATTTCATGAATTTATTTCTTCAATAACATTAATAGATTTTAGATAATTAATTTGTTCTTAACTCAGTTAATATCTTTAACCATTTTAATCTAATACATAAGAACCATTTGATATTAGATATCCATTGCTATCCAATTCATATTATTGAATCTATTAATAATCACTCCTAGAATCATCAAGGGTCTTTTCTGAAATTGCAGACATTTGGCATTTATCTTTGATATAATTGAAGTTATTTACATTTATTAGTAATTTATTATTTTAGTGGGCTTGCAGTATTAATAGGATTTTAGTCAGGTTTAATATCGGCAACCATTTATTCAATAATATTTATACTATTAGAATTGATTGTTTAGCTTAGATAAGATGAAACTTCCTCATTGAACTATTAAAATCTCTTTAAATCTTAACTGATATAATTAGACTAAGATGTAGTAGTTTAGGATTTTTATAAATTATTTATTGTTTGAGAGATTGTGTCTAATTAAGTCTAAATTTTAATTTCTGTTTTATTAGTAGTTTCAAGAATAGTCTTTTTTAGTTTTTCCATTATAGATTAGGTATGCAATTGTGTTTTCTAATCTTAATTAATGAGTAATAATTAAATTTCTCCTATTTTCAATTCTAATTGCTTGATTTTATCTTTTAATTGAACATCATTATTTAATTATCCAATTCCAGTATCATACAATGATTTAACACTTTATTCATTACAAGTCATTCTATCATTTAGAGATTTTATTTGAATTTGAAATTGTTCGTTTAAAGTATTTTATTCATATTGCAATTAGATTACTTATAATTTTAATTTATCAAAGATTTATTCTTAAGTTCTCTATGAATCAAAGCTGTCTTATGTTTTTGCTGATGGTATATTCTTATTAGATAATTTAATTTAAATACATTAACAAATCTAATTTAACTACATGAATTGTGTTTAATAGGTGCTCTATTTTCCTTACCAACTGATTGCTGTCGAATTTCTGATGGGTAATAAGTTGGAACTACAGGTTTCATTGTTCTTGTATAATTAATTGGGCCTTAATTCATTTTTTTTATTATAATTAACGAATAGGTGAGTTATTGATTAATTGATATTTCAAAATACAATAAGCAAATATATTTGTTATAAATTCAAAGCTATAATTAAAAAGAGTCATATAGAATTCAATATACATATTTTGTAATTAGAAAAGATAAAGTACTAATAAATATCTATATTTATAATAAATTAAATAATGAATTAAATTTAGAATAAGTTGAGAAAAAGGACCTATTAGCTTGATGCTAATAATTAGAATTATGATAAGAATAACAATATTTAAAAATTATCTACTTCAAATCATAATTCAATGTAATTATACAATCAAATCTAATAGAGATTTGTGTAGATAATCTCATGCTATGACTTTTCATTTATCAAATCAAAGAAAAAAATCACTTTCAGAATAATCTTAAGAATCAGATGCTGAGTTAAAACATACACATAGAAGAGCAACTACTAATAATATCATTCCTTAAAAAAATTACAAGGCACTCTAATAATTTTCATATATCACTCAGATTATGATGCCTGACTATGAAAAAAATATCAACACAATTTCAGTAATTGAGTATTATAGATATAATTTATTCTCAGAAGCAAAGCTTATTAAATTTAATAAGCAAATTAAGTTGATCAAAAATATTTGCAGAGGTTGAATGATGGTGAAATATGGATAGATTATAAATTTGAAAATGTAAAATTTATATATTATCACTCTAGCATCCAATTGAACTTAAGTAAAATTTTATCAATGTATAGAAATTAAGATAATTGGAATTTTATTATTATAAAATTAAATGTTAAGGTGAACCAATACCTTTAAGTTTTAACATGACCTAAATTGAATCAACTAAATTTAAGATATTTTTATCTACAACTAATCCATTTCCATCAAAATTTTCTTGTGAATAAATATTCTAAGTCAAAACTTGGAAATATAAAAGCAAAGACTACAAGTTATTTAGATAACATTTTATCTTTATTTCCTTAGTTTGTGACTTAGATACTACCATTAAAATTTAATTTAATTTTGGATCTTTAGGAAATTAAACAATTTCTAAAAGTCCTATCACTAAATAATAAATCAAATCAAATCTTATTGTTTGTGACTTGACTGTTTCATAAATTATTAAGAAAAGAAAAAAATAAATGCTACAATTATCAAAAGGAAGAAATTTAGTTTAGGAGAATATCTTAAATGTAACAATTTAGAATGATGAATATTATAAATCTTAAAAATAATAATACAAAACTTTACAATAAAAGAAATTTCATGAAGTTTTAAATAAGAAAAAGCAATTAGAAATCAATACTTAAGGTTAAAAATAAATTAATTATTTCTCTAAAGAAATAACTCATCTTCTAAAAAAATTAAAATAATAAAAAGATTTCGATTAAAATCGTTACTTAAAATCAGAGATGTAATTCGAAATGCTTAGATTAATTGCATATTTATAATTGATTAGTTTAATACATGAAAAGCTCAAACACTAACATAAAATTATTCTTCACATCTAAATTATATAAATTAAAATGTAGACTATCTATTATAGAGCTAAAAAAAATATGTGTAAATTAAAAGGCAACGATTTGTTTGGAAGAACACATCTTGATGTTAAATTGTAAAAATATTTTATATAATTAAAGTTGTCTATAAATGTTTGCTAATTAGATTAAAAAGAAAGTTAGAATCTAAAATATTGATAAAATTTAACCTATTTTAATATAAAGATCTTTATTATGGAATTTTAAAGAAAAAATTCATCATACCACAAAATAAATATAATTTATTAAGAATTCTATTTATAACTTTATTCTTAGATATAGAGTTTATAAATAGTTTTTAAGGTAAATTTTTGAAAAACATTTTGATATTAATTGTTAAAAATTCATAGAAAATAATCTTAAAATTTAATAACAGTTCGAACTTTGGCATTAAAATTCAAAATATATTATGTATTTTTAATTTTTAAGTTAAAATTTTGCTAATATTTTTGGAAAATAAAATTTAAATACATTTTTTAAAAATGTAAGAAAATATCAATAAATAATAAAAAGTGAAAGAAAGGAATCTACATTGAGTAAAAAATAATTATAGAATACTTAAATAATAAATTTTTTTAAAGTTCCCTTATAAAATGACTTCCAATAAATAATTCCGATTATATATGAATAAACAAAAACTGTTACATCTTAATATTGCAAAGATTAAATAAGGAGACCTTTTAACAAATTATAATTTTGACTTTTTAATTTATTTAAGTTGCTTTAAAAATATTTTATAATAAGAAAAAATCAAATTATTTATGTGATTAATTTAGCCATTGACTTTTGTGTGTACCTCCTTGGTGATAATAATAATAATGATGCTTAACAAGTGTCAATTGATTATTTCTACATTCTCATTAACATTCTTCCCAAAAAAGCTTTAATTATAAGTCCTATGAGCCCTATACTTAATATAAAAATAATCAAAGTTTGCTGATATTTTGATATTTAAATTTCAAATTGCTATTATGCCATATCAACTATCGAAGAATAGGCAGTAATTATGAGATCTGTTCCATAATCTAAATAAGCTATATGCTCAGATGTTTCTACAAAATTAACAAAATCAGTTAAACTATTATTGACCAAATCTCCTTAATAAAATTATGGGAACTACTGAATAATCTTATAAACTTAAACAATTAATGATTTCAGCCCCTATTAATAGTAAGCCAAAATTTATTGATTATAGATTCCAACTAAAGTTGATGAACAATCCAAAGCACTCTAATTGTCACATATTGTTTGTTGATTCATAAAATTTATTTTAAATTTAATGTTTTCATCTGTTAATGAACCAATAATGCTATTATCATATTGAAGAAAGAAGTCTTATTCAGTTCCTTTGAGGACTGAAGAGTAATTCTAAAACTCTTTTTATGAAATAACATTATAATATAAGGATGAATTAGTTAAAGTTTTGTATGCAATTAGATCAGCATTATTTAATACATTTATAAATGATGATTATAAAGTCTAATATTTAAAAAGCAATTCTAATCCTGACAATAATTAATCAGTCAATAGAAATATTATTAAAAATATCACTAAGAAATATGACATTATAACCACTAAATCAATAATCAACAAGACAATATATCTAATTTATTGAATATTAGATGATTTTAGTTTTTTTATTAATTTATTCTTTTCTTGTTTTGTTCTATTTTAATTATCTATGTAATTAGTAGAAGCATTTTCAGAATAAATTCCATTTTAAAAGAATTTTTCTATATCAAATATTTTGCCTTCAACAATAAAATCTACCATCATCCAATCATAAACTGATTTTTTTAGAGTAGCTGCTAGAGCTTCAAAAGATTCTTATTCTTATGCAAATTAAAGTTGATTAATATCTAATAAAGCCATATATAATTTTTTTTTATATTTCCCTAAAGTTGATATCATGGGAATCTATGAGAATTATAAAATTAATACTAATAGAAATATAATAACCATAAAGATTATCAATAACTATTAATAATATCTTTCTTTATCAATTTTATTATCATAACATGAATCAAAAGCCAATTAAGGAAGTTTACCAATTTCTTTTAAATTTGCCACGCTAGATTAAATAAGTTGAGTTTGTAATTCATAATCAGCAAATTAATTTTCAATAATTTTATAAAACTATGCTAAAGATTTTTAAATAGTTTCAGTTATTGTTAAATCAGATTTAGTACTATTATCAATATCATAAAATATTGAAAGGGTAATGCCTATATCATTGATACGATTTTTTTCTAAATTGCTAAAATAAATCAATTAGTCAACTTCTGTAAATATTTATTTATCATAAAATATGTGTAATTAATCAAAATTTGAAACATTAAAGTCATATGAATATTAAATTCGAAATAATCCATGTGTAATAAGAGAATAAGTTTTTTATAATTTAAGTAATATTTGTATTAAACTCATACAATCTCCATAATCATATTAATTCCAAACAGAGATAGAAACAAGTAAAATATATATTATGACTAAAAGTATTGTAACAAATAGAATATAATTTTAAAATTTATAGGAATTAGGATATTGGAATTCGCTAATTTTTTGATTTATAGCTTTGTAATTTTCATCGAAATTTTTAAGTTGTAAGAGATAGGAATCCTCATTTTCAACTTTTTCTCTCTCTCTATCTTAATTACTTTAAATAACTTTTTGTTCTAACTCATTGTAAAATCTTTACTATTTATTTTTTTAGGATAATTTATTTATGACTTTGCTTGCAGCTTCTTTTTGTGAGCCTTTAAGAAAATCAATTTGATTTGATCTGATATTTGATTCAAATTGAATTTCAGTTCCATTACTTTTTGCACTTTAAATACCATATTCGAGTAATTAAAGACTTTTTCTATTAGTTAATAGTAATTTATTTTATTCATCTTTAGCAGATGTAATAATACATTGATCTGTAAGGATATTTTAATCACTAAAGCAATATTCATCCTATTTTGAAGGATGACTTTAAAATTAATAGAGAGAAATTTGATCATCTTGTTCTACTTTTTCACTGAAATTACCTTATAGACTCATAGAATCTTGAGATATGACTTCAAATTGTGTTTAAATTTAAGATTATTTTACATTAGTAGATCCTCTATTTAAATTAACACTTTTCTCCTATTTCATTTAAGCCTACATTTACTTTAATGTATCTCTTAATTATTTACGATAGCCTTTCTCCATACTTGCTAATTATTACTCATTAACAGTTAATTCAATAACAAACATTTAGACTTTATTTTCTATTTCATTTTTTTTATACCTAAATTCTTCATAATTAATGGAATAAATAACAGGAATAGGATTAAAATCTTAAGTAGTAATTCTTTAAATATAATTCTAGAATTTATCGTAATACATTTATTCAGCTCTAGTTTTTAATTGTCCTTCACTTTCAGAAGATGAATCTGCTTTTTCAGAATGTTAGATGGTAGTTGTCATTTAATTAAGATTAGATACTCTCATATCTTATCTTGAAAAGTTGCCTAATACCATTTATTGATGTTTTCGTAGGAATTCTTCAAAATAAAAAGAACACAACTTCTCATTAAATACAGAAACCTATTATTTAGCATTAAGAGATTCTGTTTCTATGTATTATGATCTTTTTCCACTATAAGAGAAATTAGAAGTTTAGATTTTCTCATCTTCATTGATTTTCCCCAATACTTTGTTATATTATTGAACAAATAAATTGATATCTTCAGGAACAAACATGTAAGTTTCCTTATTAGATACTACGGTATTACTACTTTCAAGATCTATTGGATTTGGATATTTTCCTTTAGGAGGAACTTAACCATTCATTAGATATTCAATTCCTGTTTATTCGATTTCAGCAGTTATAAAAGGAAATAACATCCAAATTAAAACTTTTATGTAGAAATCTTCTATTGTTAGAGGTTAATTAGACCATTTAATTTCATAAACATCAAAACTAATATTAATTATGTTTATAAATACACTTCAGAATCTGAATCTGCAGATGAATCATCATTTTCAAAAGATTTCTATTTTACTTCATCTTATTTATTTACATCTTTCAATTTTCTTTACATTCTATCTATCATTTTATACAATCCCTAAGTAATTCCCATCAAATTTCCATAAATATCAAATAAAACATGTTACTGTCCTTTAAATATCAGATTTCGCAATCTCTTAGATTCATCTTTAATATCTATTTCATCTTATTCTAACCTTTTTAAACATCCAATCATTGAAAAATCAGCTTCTAAATCTGGACTAAAATTATGAGCCAAATACACTTAACATCTAATTAGTGTTTAATCACATAGTTTAGCAAAAGTTTAAAAATATTTTCCAATTCTTTATGTTGATCCTCTTCTAATATAATTTTACATCATTTCATCATGGACTCCCAAAAGCCAATTAGGCATCAATGGATTAATATTACCTTTAGTATAATCTATAAATGAAGCCATATCTGCAAATCCAAAAAATCGAGGTATCAATGGTGAAATAACTTTATTTCTAACTTTTCCAATATTTGGACCAAATGCTATACACACTTTGACTGATATTGCATCTCCTTTAAAAAAATTAATGTTAGTAATCTCAAAAGTACTCATGCTCCTTTCATATGCCAAAATCTCCTTACAATCTATTTAGTTTTTTTGAATCTATACCTTTTTCCATCTCATAATATGCTCTTGCGTTATTATATAATATCAACTGAATTAGAGCATCAAATTTTAAGAATTGAACATTATAGGTTCTTCCATTAACAAAAAATATTGAACTATATTTATCATATTCTCGAGTTATTTATTATTACAATAATTAAAGTTACTACAATTATTTTTCTATTTCTATAAATGTTGCTATCTTTCCCTCTTATATCTGTTTCCAGAACCCAGATTTAAATTGACAAATCTATTATTTTAAAATACTTTTTACTTAAATTAATAATGGAAGCATATTTTATTTGACTTATTCCATTTAATAAAGATTCTATACAATGCTTCTCTCACTTTTGCTAACCTACAACTTTACATTTGAAATTCTACTACGCGATTCAGAATTTATGTTATAATCTTCATCTTTCTACATTTAAGCCTATATTATGAATTACAGAAATAAGCACATTTAAATAAAATAGAAAGAATATTCTCTTTACTTTTAAAAAAGAACTTTAAGTTCTTAATAAGTCTTAGGTCCATTTCTTTTAAATTTATTGATAAATGTTAAGAATTTTAATGAAAGAACTTCAAAATCTCCAATTCTTTTTTATACTGTAACCTTGTGTTTGTCAAAACTTCTTTTAAACAAACATGAAATAAAAATTACAGTTTGGTCAAGTTTAATTATCTTTTCAAATCCAATTTTCTTACATTAACATTTATTCTGTCTGCAATGAGTATAATGCATACAAAACTTAGTTATGTATTCTATTTCTTTCTGCTTACATTTTTAAGCTTCTCCATTTAGTTCAAACATATTCTCTATGTACAACAATTCAAAATATTAATTTTATTTAGATATTGTCTAATAAACATTTTATCTCTTCATTTCTACTAAAGCACTTGTTAAATATTATGAAACAGGTAGTAAAATTAAAAATATAACAATGCATGAATATGAATTAATTGAGAATGCTTTCTATATTGTGGTTATCACATAAACAATTGTGAATATTGTTAATCCCTAATTATATAGTTGAGCATAAGCAGAAAATCTATGATGATTAGAATTATATAGATTACCCAAAAGGATACTAAATGATTGCTTCTCCAATTAACATACATATGAACAATCCAAAGATAATTTTTGAAAGTAAAATAAAAATAAATTATGTTCTTAACGACATGAAAAATAAAGGAATCAAAAGTAATTAAGCTATAATATTATTGTAATTAAAGTATTTTCGTAAGCTTTACTAAAAGAATTCATAATTTATAAAATAGATATTTGAAAATAATAAACTACCTATTGCTATCAATAAATTAAAAATTGACAACAGCAAAAGAAATGGATCATTTGCATTTAATAAATTCCAGCAAATATAGTAAAGTTGTAATACATAAAATAACCAAGTGAAGTTCAGAAAATAGTTATTTATTAATATGGTAGTTATCTATAATAGGATAATCAATGTATACATCTAAAACACTTTTTGAGATACTATCTACACTATTATGACTTTTCATTATAAAACGATAGGTGATTATGATATAAGGAAAACAATTAAGCAGGGTTATAGCTATACCTATTAAAATGTTGATAGCATCATTATCCATAAAGTAAGGAGAGATTAAGCATATTTTGGTGAATGATTTTATCAGGCTCAAGACTTGCTCATTTGAATCATCAATTAAAAAATATGACAATTGCAGGAAATATACTGCAATTTGGAATTTCGCATAGCTGAAATTATTTATAGTAGGAGACAAATTGGTTTGAATTATCAAGCCTTGATATTACTTAAAGTATTCCCATTTCATATTTGGAAATATAAATAATATAAAATTATAACATACACACAACTTATCATTCAAAATTAACTTTTTTAAAGTCAGACTTCCCCTGAGTAGTAGAACAATAACTAATTTAAATAAAGCTATGATAATATTGATTTAAATTAATTTGTGTTAAACTAACCTAAAAATACTTTCAAATTTTATATAAGTTATTCCTTATATTTATTTAATATCTAAAATGCTGATATAAATGAAAGAAAAACAAATATTTGTAAAAACAGTTTATTAAATACAAACTAGATGAAATTTACATAGAAGTATTTTATTTATTTCTAAAATAACTATTATTCAGTAAGGATTGAAGTATAAATAAGATTGATGATTGAAATTTGAATTTCTTACATTTTGATGATATAAATTTATTTTTTATTAGAATCTAAAAAAAGATGCTTAAGGATAAATATAATGGAGACTGAAAAATAAATTGAAAATATAATTAAGTTTAGGGAAATAAATAAATGAATAAATGTAAAAATTACGTATATATAGATAAAATGGCATTGATCAAAATATGGATTGATTATCATATTTTTCCTTATGAAAAGTTTCAAAATATCCATAAATAATTGTAACGGCCAGCAAGATTCCAGTTCCTTAGAAAAATATTATAAAAAATATTACCTGATCCAATAGCTCCTAAAATATCAGCAACAATAGTCAATAATCCTATACAAACTCCTCCACAAAAAGCTGCAACTGGAATATAACCAGATAAATATTTAACCATAGATTCTTCTCTTAAACCTTTAATTTTAATCTAGAATAAAAATATAATAGATACTTATTCATCTTTGAATTTTCTAGCAACATCTTTTGCACTTTCACCTGAAATTTGAATCCAAAATTTAGCAAAGAATCCACACATAAAAACAACAAATAAAACATAAACAATAGCATGAATAGGATCATTAATAATATCTTTAACATCTCTTAATGGTGACATATAATAAGCTAAACCTCCAATAGGTACAGATTAACCTCCAAATTCTGCCTCTTACCATGTACCTAATAATTTAACAAAGAAATTAGTTTTAAATCTTCTATAAAGTAATTATGATAAGAAATAAACATTTTAAACAAGAGTACTCTGAATAATCATAGGAATATTTGAAGTGTAAAATAATTTAATTCCATGTGATGATACTAATCCTCTAATTTTTTAACTGGCTAATGGAACTTCAACTCTGAACCCTTATAAATAAATGACTAATGAGATCACAAATAAAGTAGCTAATAAATTATTAAGATTTGGAGCTGATTCTCTAAAAAATGCATAATAAAGTGCTTAAACTAAAAATAATTGATTAATATTACGTGTATTTTATTTGGTGAAGATCAAATGGAAGAAATTAATAATAGCTCCTTCAAATTGAGTTCCAGCTTCAGTTGACAATGTAATTGGTGAAAATGATTTCCATAAAATGTTTTCACTTACATTTGTAGCAATAAATAATGAAATACCTGATCCCAAACCTAAAAGATTTAAAATTTTTATATTGTACCATATCCTTTTTAAAGCATTTCATCTAACATAGTGACAACGACTCCTGCAAATGTTAATTATAATAAAATGAGTATGGCATTGCCTGCTCCAATCTAATTAATATCACCATATGCACCAGACCAAATGTAAGCCATTCCTTCAGCAATAGCCATAATAAAGGATAATACTAAAAATTGATATTAGTATTACATTTTTATGCTGCATTAAATAGTACTTTGTCTTCTCTAACAGAATGATTCACTTCAATAAATCCGACTCCACTTAGAAATTGTAAAATCATTCCAGATGTTACAATAGGTGAAATACCCAATTCCATCAATGTACCTTTATTTGAAGCCAATATTACTCTCATCCAATAAAAAGGATCAGATCCTAACAAATATTCTTTTNTATATATAGATAAAATGGCATTGATCAAAATATGGATTGATTATCATATTTTTCCTTATGAAAAGTTTCAAAATATCCATAAATAATTGTAACGGCCAGCAAGATTCCAGTTCCTTAGAAAAATATTATAAAAAATATTACCTGATCCAATAGCTCCTAAAATATCAGCAACAATAGTCAATAATCCTATACAAACTCCTCCACAAAAAGCTGCAACTGGAATATAACCAGATAAATATTTAACCATAGATTCTTCTCTTAAACCTTTAATTTTAATCTAGAATAAAAATATAATAGATACTTATTCATCTTTGAATTTTCTAGCAACATCTTTTGCACTTTCACCTGAAATTTGAATCCAAAATTTAGCAAAGAATCCACACATAAAAACAACAAATAAAACATAAACAATAGCATGAATAGGATCATTAATAATATCTTTAACATCTCTTAATGGTGACATATAATAAGCTAAACCTCCAATAGGTACAGATTAACCTCCAAATTCTGCCTCTTACCATGTACCTAATAATTTAACAAAGAAATTAGTTTTAAATCTTCTATAAAGTAATTATGATAAGAAATAAACATTTTAAACAAGAGTACTCTGAATAATCATAGGAATATTTGAAGTGTAAAATAATTTAATTCCATGTGATGATACTAATCCTCTAATTTTTTAACTGGCTAATGGAACTTCAACTCTAAAACCTTATAAATAAATGACTAATGAGATCACAAATAAGGTAGCTAATAAATTATTAAGATTTGGAGCTGATTCTCTAAAGAATGCATAATAAAGTGCTTAAACTACAAATAATTGATAAATATTACGAGTATTTTATTTTGTGAAGATCAAATGGAAGAAATTAATAATAGCTCCTTCAAATTAAGTTCCAGCTTCTGTAGATAATGTAATTGGTGAAAATGATTTCCATAAAATATTTTCACTTACATTAGTAGCAATAAATAATGAAATACCTGATCCCAAACCTAAAAGATTTAAATTTTTTATTTGTACCATATCCTTTTTAAAGCATTTCATCTAACATGGTCACAACAACTCCAGCAAATGTTAATTATAATAAAATGAGAATAGCATTGCCTGCTCCAATTTAATTAATATCACCATATGCACCTGACCATATGTAAGCCATTCCTTCAGCAATTGCCATAATAAAGGATAATACTAATAATTGATATATTAGTATTACATTTTTATGCTGCATTAAATAGTACTTTGTCTTCTCTAACAGAGTGATTTACTTCAATAAATCCTACCCCACTTAGAAATTGTAAAATCATTCCAGATGTTACAATAGGTGAAATACCCAATTCCATCAATGTACCTTTATTTGAAGCCAATATTACTCTCATCCAATA